CTATCACACGGACCTCGGAAGCTCTACTGTCTCTCTCGCACCTATCAGAATAGCTAAAATTCTAAAACTTTATAGCTTGGAATTAATGATTTGTGAATGTTTTTTTTCCAGGCAAGCCTATATGATTGGTTTTGTAATTAAAATATCTTACCTATGTTATAAATTTCGATTGGTTAACAGATTGGTGTAGTTACCTACATTGACTTACCTATTCACATCTGCTTGCCAAGTAGCCATGGACAGAAATAAGTAGGCAAGCCTACCTTGGCATATTCTGTGTTAAAAATCTATCAGTTGAGACAAAACTCATTCGGTTATCAAAAGAGTGAAGGTGATGAAAGAAAATTGATTAAAATTAATTAAATAAAAATAGCTATGAACACTTTTCGATAGGCAAGTCATCATAGGCATATTAGTTTATAAATTATTATAAATTATATTTCATATGAAATATGTCTCATCAAGTTATTAGATCGGTGAAGGTCGATCTACCACCAGCTCTTAGACTATTCGATTCGATTGAGACCTTGGGGGTGTTAGTCTCCCCAAAGGTGCCAAGTAGACTACAGATATGTCAAAGTGTTAAGTTACCTATACAAAACGCCCCTATGTTTGCCAGATTAACCATTCTATGCAACTGCAGCGAGGCGTGAGAACGGGAGAAGTTTTATCTCCGAAACTGTTAACAGCTGCATTTGAGGATATTTTCAAGATTCTGGAGTGGAAAGGATGAGGCATCAACATTAATGGCGAGTAACTTACATATCTTCGTTTCACTGATAATGTAATAGATACTTATGACTCAGACCTTGGAAGATCTGAGCACGATGCTTGAAGATTTTAGTAGTGCTTATGGGACGAAATTCATGTCGTTGCCCTTGTAGTTGTCCACTCCAGTTAAAATTGAGAGCACTACACTCAAAGATGTTGACCACCGCTACATAGGTAATTATATCTACGACAAAAAGTCCAGTTGGGTAAGTCTGACTTCGAAAAAGAGATCTCGCAAGCAACGTTCGTATAGTTTAGTTTAGTTTTTCAGGGCAGTTTCCGCACTTAGTCCTAATTATTGGACCATTGTGCGTGTCTCAAAACATTCCCGTTTACTTCAGCCAGCCTATATTTGTCCATAAGGAAAACAGCCTTGGTAGACTGCTGCAAGCTTCCGGAAACGATTCTGGAGAAGTCGTGCCCGTTAGTGGGCCACACTCCTGCATTCCATGATGACATGCCAGACATGCTGTGGCGTTTCTTCTGCCTCCATGCATCCTCTGCATAGGGGACTGTCTGTTACCTCGGACTGTCCTATATACAATAGGTGTATATAGGTGTTTGTTTAGGGGACAATGACCAGTCAGGGTTTCTATAATCTTGCAAAGTTTGTCCATATTTAGTCTGATAAGGGTGCGAGCAATTCTTTTGTTTGTCGCCGGAAATGCGTTTTACGTTTTTCCGGCATCCTTCACCTGTTTTTCACTCTGTCAAATGTGACTTCTGAGTTCTTTCACGCAGGCACGTTTTAATTTGGACCTGTGGTATGGGCAGCAAAGGTTCCGGTCCATACATTTTTGTGTCTGCTCTGTTAGCCAGTTCGTCTGCTGCATCGTTTCCAATCGAGTTGCTGTGTCCTTTTATCCATTGCAGAGTTACCGTGTCGGTTACCGCAATGGATTGAAGTGCCCTGTGGCACTCCATTACCAGCGTTCAGGTAATTACGTAAAATCTCCGCGCCCGATCTAGCTCAGTGTCTCAAGACAATAGTCTTTGAATAGTGTGTGTTGCCAGTGATGACCTATGAAAGCGAAAGGTGACCGTTTACTACGGGTCTCATAAGGTATCAAGGCTACGCAGCGAGCAATGGAGAGAGCAATACTGGCATCACTAAGCGACTAGAATTAGAAATGAGAAAATCCGCCAAAGAACCAGAGCAACCAATATCGCTCGAAGGATTGCTCTGCTAAGTTGCAATGGATGGGACACGTAGCGAGGAGAACCAAAGGCAGTTGGAGCGAAAAGGTTCTTGAATGGTCGTATATTAAGCTAGCAGACCATGAACGCGCACATCTTACCTAATGGGTATTTAGTTGCTAATTAGTTACACTATTCCCGATTTAGTTGCTCAATACCTGTAAAAGATGCAAAGATGATCTGCTAGATTAAGTCTTAACCTAGCAGACCACAATACTGTATCTTCGGTTATCGTAAAGATATTGGAGTTCTGTAAACGGCATATTTAGTTGCTAATTAGTTGCTGAAGGACAGCATTATTTGTATTATCAACCATCATCCCCTAATTGCCGCATCAAACCCCATACTATAGGCTTGCCAGGTGTCCAGCTTTAGCCGGACATGTTTGGCTTTTTGCGGTCGCGTCCGGCCAAATATGTACGTGTTTGACTGTCCGGCTTTTGTCAGGCTTTTTGTCAAACTGTTGGCGCGCACGGCGCGTGACGTGAGCGTGACTGCCCGGCCCCGCTGTCTGATATAATAGATATGTCCGGCTTTTAGGGGAAAATGTCAGGCCTTATGGCCTGGCAACCCTACCCCCGAAATACGATAAAGTTAAAAAAAACTCATTGGAGAATATAAAGTACGGCGTGTTTTGTTGCTAATTAATTGCTGCAAAATAGCACTGTTTATAATATTCCATTATCAACCCTTAACTGCAGATCATCCCTGCTACCACCACCAGAATAGGACGATATCGGAGAATTCTCGTAGGTGTATTCTACAAATATCCCCTAACCACAGATCCCCTCTACTAACTTAAAAACAGTGGATGGCTGGAATTCACACGTAGATGTTTAAAATTGTTGGATATTTTATTGCTAATAAGTTGCTTATGGACAGCATCATCTTTATTATCCCCCCGCGAAATTAATTATTACGCGAAAATTGGGGGACTTACCCTCTTTTCGGGTTAAAATTCAGTTAAGTCAACATAAACCATAAACACTTTCCTGGTTATTAAATCTACACGATGCATTCTGTGCAATGTTGCCTTTCCCACAACCCAGAGTACTTTAATATAGCCATAGACATACAGATCGGACTCTGAAACAGTTCCATGATTATTGACAATTCTCTAAAAAGATAGACAATGATAGTTGACCTATGGACATTATAACTTTTGGCTGCACTATCACTTTGTCTCTCATGCTTATCTGCCCAGTTTTTTTTACAGTTGGAAAGGAAATGCTCATTGAATTCTCTATGATTATAGCATGTTATACTACCTTACAATCAGCTGTCTTTGAAGACTCCATTCGCACTTAACATCAGGTTATTGAGGTGGAGTAATTTATTTGTCCGTACCATATTTTACTTACGGAAATAATTTGGTGGACACAAAGGAGACTGCCATTGGCCAGAGTAAGGACAGCAAAACAATCCAGCCAATGACAGAAAAGTTTAGATAACATTGGTGCTAATTCGTTCACATGAATAGATTAGTGTCTCTGAACCCCAAAACTGTAGAAGATGTAGATACAAAACCATAGCATTCTTTGTCATAGTATTAAAAGTATTTCTTCTTTAGATCCAGAGATTTATATTTTATAGTATATAACTTAAGAGTCTAGCACTGTCGATTTACTGCTCAGCGATTTTGTCATCTGCAAGCATCAATTTCTTCTTTATAATTTAGATTTTGCTAAGGAAGCTGGCATAGTTAATCGACAGTGCATTGACTCTTGAGTTAATGACCGATATTAAATATGTATAGTTATGGTACGATGTTTAGCGACCATGATGGGTATGTTAAGGTTTAGTTTATCTATTCTAGAGCTCAGATAATAGGCAATTAATAACAATTTATACAAAACCAGCCTCCATTTAAAATTAAAACAATACTATTGCAATTAATGTGATGTAGCAAACAATAAATATAATAAGTCTATTTGTGATAGGGTCGCACTTGTTAGTCGATATGTATTGAAAAAGATTGTCGGTGTGACAAGGTAAGGAAAGGGTTTGAATTAACAATTTGTCACATTCAATATGTTTTGTAAAATATATTTAATTTAAATAATTATCCTATAAAACAACTATGTTATAAGTTTTTTAAAGACAAAACAAAAATCTCCCATTTTGTGCTTATATAAATATAAAAATATTCACAATTCTGTGTGAGCAAGGATTTTGTAACAATATTAAATAAATTTATCTATGGATCATTCTAATAAATTTATAGACAATATATATATTTTGTATAGGTGCAAAAGTTCATATTCTAGAAAATAATTTCAAGTCTCAGTAGGTATTTACACAGCAATATTTACATATCTATTTACAAAATTTACAATCCAATGTGAAATATTCTAATGCAATAGTATAGAGTGATAAATTCATAAACTATAGACAAATATGACGATAGAGTTGAATGAATAGAGAAATCTTTGATAGATGAACATAAAAGTAAGTATTTTCTGTGTTCAGTGAATCATTATAGAGTCATCACACTTTTTAAACTCTGATATTGGCAGAATAATGATGGAACTATAAACAGAGACAGCATTATCTTTAACTCTTAATTAAAATTTAAATGACATCGCTGAGTGTGATTATGTAGAAATTAGATGAAGTTCATCATCATCACATTTGTCTCTAGTACTATACTCTGTTCTCGGAATCAAGCCAGTTGAGTGCTTTCCCATCAATATTATCGATATCTGTTGTGTTAACATTGCTAATTTTTTATCTTCAATGGGGATTGCAAAGAGAGTTACAAGTTAGGCAATGGGCTTCATTCTGACATCATTCTCTAAACTTAAAACAGAATTTGACATGAGCCTCTCCTTTTCAGTCTCTAAAGAACATGAAAGGGCAATACTATTGTCAAATTTAGTCTCAGGTTCAGTGAATCATGCCAGCATCAGGTCCAATGCTTAGCTTTCGTCCGTGAACAGAGTATAGGGTTCGATACTAGGGTAGGTAGGGTAGTTTAGAGAGTGAGTAAAGGCTATGATCTGAGCTCTAGAGGCGGCCGGGCAAATACGCACCTGGGCATTGCTTGCGTCGTTTGTCGGGCAGCAGACCATTGGGCGGAGACGTAGGCCGCTTCGCCTGTTTCTCCTCTCCAGACTTCTCCTCACACATAGTCCTCTCCAAACACTTTAGTAGCAAACTATCGAACTCTCCGTCTCCACTGCCACTGTTCACTGTCCCGCACTTATTGTCGTCCGTTTGCTTACTATCACTGTCGCACTTAACACTGTCACTCGGCTTCTTTTTATTAGCTTCGTGATTGTTCTCTCTGTAGCCCTCGTTCTGCGCGTACTTGCCCTCCTTGTCTAACGTATCGTTCCGCCATTCTTTGTCCCGCTCCTTCTCCGCCGTTTTACCGTCGGCGAGCTTCGATTTCTTTTTAGGCTTCAAACTGTCGAGCACTTTGTTGTTGATCTTGTAGTCGTGCGATTTAGTGACTATATGCGAGTTTTTCGATATCGTCTTCATTCTGTAGACGACGTTGTTGTCGCCGGCCGCGATAATACCCGGCTTTATCGCCTCGCCTTCTGCGTAGTGGTAGTTTAGCTTTATGCTCTTCATTAGTATCTCGTCAGTCTTGTTGTCGGCGCCTTCGACCGTTTTAACGGGTGACTCGTGCGTCTTGCCGTCCGCTTCGAGAGCTTTCCTTATTTTGACTTTCTTGGATTGCACGTCTCCTAGATTGAACTTTTTCTTCTCTTTTTTCGAGTTCTTTATGACGGCGGAGTTGCGGCCTCGCAAACTTATGTGGAGAGGCGGCACTCTTAATTCCCCGTCGGTGGGTTTCTCGCCTTTTGGTTGGTTGACGAAGCTGACGTCAGCTTTGTAGACGGGCTCGTTTTTGTCGAGCTTTAGCCGGAGTTTGATGGACTCTTTTTCGCTCGGGGACTTTGGGGCTTCGGAGACAGGGGCGACAGTGGGAGGGGGAGGTTCTAAGGCAGGGGCGGAAGCGGGAGCGGGAGCGGGGGCGGGGGCGGGGGCGGACACGGAAGCGGGCGCGGCAACGGGCGGGGTCGCGGGCTGCGGCCGCGGTAAGGCAACTTTGGTTTTCCCATCTCTCACTATCTTATCTTTGAGCGTCACTGGCTTCTCCTTCGTCCCCGCTCGCGGCTTGCCCCCTTTCTGGGCGAGTTTGTCCTCCCTCTCTCTCTTCAGCTTGTTTTTTAACTTGAGCTCTTCCTCCGCTCTCCGATCCTCCTCCGTAGTGGTCACTTTAGCGATTCCGAACACTTCAGCCTCCGAGTTTTCTTTTAGTTTGCACTGTGCTACGGTCACTTCCTCTGGTTTCTTTTCTTCTTTGGGCGGAGGTTCATCGTCCCTCATGAGGGTTTTGATCAGGTACTGTTTGCTTTGCGCCTCTATTTCCTGCGCCGACGCTTGGGAACCGACTGTGGCAGTAGATACGGAACTAGTCGCTCTAATAGGCAGTCTCATCGGTGGTGGCATTGTAGTGCTGGTGGTAGCTTTGTCCGCACTATATGTTGAATTTGGAGGCGATTTGAACGGTGTTTGGAACTTGTTAGGCACTGGCGGGGGAGGCATGAATGTAGACTCGGGCTCCTTCGGTTCCGTTGTACTAGTGGTCGGTTCCGGATAAGGGCCATTCGGATACGAGATTGTTTCTCTGTTTTCCGATTCAGGAGCTTCTTTTTGCTCGTATAGTTTGGCAGCGTTCTCCAAGTCTGATATTGCGGATAAGGCCGAGTCCAGGTTTAGGTCTGCGCTCAGAGTGGGTAGCAGTTGATCAAGATCGGAGTCGGGTAAATCTGGTAGCTCCAAGTCCCGGTATGGTTCGTTCCAGTCGGGCTGTGAGGCTGCCCTTTGGGTCGCGATGTATTGCTGCTGGAACCACTGGAACTCCTGTGGAATATTTGGTTTGGCGATTAGTTTTAAGTTAAAAATGTGAGCTTGGTATTATAGTGAGAGGAATCTGTCTTTAGGGCTTTATTTATATAAAGTTGAAGAAAAATTACGAGAGCTGCATTTGATGTTTACATATCAAAGACTAGAAAATATACTTATATGGTAAAGAATCTTAACAAAACTTATTTAAAATTTCTATATATAAAGCAAAACAAACTTATTTTATAAAGTGTTATTTTATTTCATGATTTTTTCTTAATTTTTCTAGTATTTTTAGAAATAAAAAAATACATTTACGAAAAACTCTAGAATATTTGATAATTATCTGATCTTTAATTTCTTTGAACTAAGCAAATCATCAAATCAAAGATTCAAAACTAAGACAAAACGTTTCAAATCTAACTTTCATATTTATTTGAAAAATTAAAATATTATTAATAAAAACTTCCACTAGATTTCCATAGTTACCTACTCGTTTAACTCTTAACAAAATCCCAAGCCATTCAACAAAAACCCCCACTTCATCACCACCCTATGAATGTCCCCACTGCTGGGGCACAGGCCCTCCCTATGGATGGAATAGGGAGATTGGACCATGATATGACCCACCACGAGGACCCAGTGCAAAATGGTTGGTGCTAACAATTGCAGATGCAGCCGGGACCAACGACTTAATATGCCTTCCGAAGCATGGAGGAGCTCAAGATAATAAGTATTGGTCAATCATCCAAGGACACAATCCAACAAAATCTGCTGTACCAGCTATCTTCGCATCTCGACTTCACCATCACTCAACATCAGGTGGGCTAGAGTAATTTGCCTACCTAGCTATATAAAAAAACCCCCCAACTTCACAACTACCCAACTCACCTGGAACCTCGACCTGGTCTTCTGATCCATCGACGTAGTAGAAGGCGGCAGTAACACCTTCAGATCTTCAGGCGAGAACCTCGGCGCTTGGGCTTGCGTTTGCGTCTGATTCAATGTAGAATTCAGGACTTGAGGAGTTGTGGGTCTCGGTAACGGAGGTCTGGGTCTAGGTCTGCAATCTGCACGGTAAGGGGGAGGGGGCGGGGGTATAGGGGAGGGGATAGGGGAAGGAGAGGGGCTGCTAGTACTATCAGTATTAGTGCTGACGTAGCTGGTGGGAAACCGCGCACGATTCGGTAAGGGGGGATTGCTGCCCGGCGCTCGGTAGGTCACCTAATGTAAACAATGTTGTATGTAAGTTAACGAATAAAACAAAAATGGCAGAATACTGTGTAATAACGTGAAGCGTCAGAAATGTTTAGAATGGTAAGAAATACATTATTAAAGTATTTTCTTCAAATACATTCAATTTTAACTTGAAAAGTATAGGCATAAAGTGTTCTTTTAAATCAGTGATTCACTTTATATTACCGTCATTTTAAAACAACCCAGAGAAAAAAATATTACAAAAGATTTATTTATATTCATGTTATTTGACAATAAATTTCTTTATCGACATAGTAGACACAGTAGACATCGACGTAGATCACTACGGTTCTCTTTTTGCGGCAAATAAATTTTATACTTTTAATGAAAACAAAGGAGGAGACCTTAGATTTTTGCCCAATGTTGTACCATGGATCAAATTATCTCAAAAAAACATTAAAAATTAAACTTAAAAGACTCACTCATCAAAATCTCAAAAATTCAATAAAAATTGCTGAAAATCTGAATTAAAATATATAAATCTGCGTATAAAGAAACGTTATTACTAAGACGCAACTTGTCATAGACATTGACAGATTAATACTTTTAGTTTAGTTTCGTTTCCTTGATTGCAATTAGTTGTAACAAAATCACTTGATTTCCATCGCTAAATTGTTATTAATTTAAAGATGCACATTTACCATAATATATTATTCTGTGTTGCCATTAAATAAATTTTGAAACGAGTTTTATGTGATATATGTGGATAATAAACTCCATTTATATTTTTGGTGAACTCGTCTTATTTTTCTAAACATAAATGCATGAGGCACAAATTTGTTGGCAGAGTTGTATTGAGAAAAGAATGGATAATTCAATTCAATTTATTGCACTCATGTGGTTACATAGATGGTTAATAGTGCGGTATATAGCGGATAAGTCCACGAAAATAAATTTTACACGGTGGCTAAAAAATTAATATCAGTATTATGGAGGTGACTAATAGCATATCGGACTAGTCTGGTTTTGTTTGAAAAAGCACTTTTTAAAGCCTTTTTATTCCTACTTCGATCCGGTTTTGACTGAAAATATTAACAGGGATCGACGAAACTGGGTCAAGACACAACGATTCGAAAAAAAACTTTTTTTTAATAGTAGTGGACAAGTCCAGTTCTGTTCGCCAGCTCCTCAAGTTACAAAATGCATAAAGTACCGAACATGAACCCTGTCAGGGTATCGCAATTAGGATGATGACTAATTTTTTTTTTCTTCGTTTATCAGGTAGATTATCAAAAAGTATTGGACACGTATTTTTTATTTTTTCATATAATATAAACATTGCAGAGATATATCGATTTGAAAAGTCGCATGACGTCACGTTTGAGTACACTTATAAGTGAAAATTCACTCAAAAGTGACGTCACGAGCCCCTACTCCCAAACTTTGACGCGCTATAACTTTGACATTTTTTGGTTGATTGCCCAAAGAAAAAATACGTGTCCATTATTTTTTGATCATCTAACTGACGGACTAAATAGCATTTCGTTTACTGTACCCCGTCATCACCCCTATTCAGGGCCCTTCCTAAAGTAAATTTAACTACTCACCGGCTGTCCAGGCGGTCCCTGCGGCGGGGGCGAAGGCCTAGCCGGCGCGAACGTTCTCCTCACGAACGGTTGCTGTTGCTGTTGAGGCTGGTGTGTTTGATGAGGTTGATGAGGTTGTGGGTGTTGTTGGTGTGATTGTTGAGGTGTCGGCGCCGGTACCCGCGCCCCCCGGTACTCTAGTTGAGCGCGACCGGCCGCTAGTTCCACCTATATTGGAGTTTATATTTCATTATCCATACTTATATAGCCACTTTTGAAGTGAACCTTTTTTCGGACGGGGTGTAAATGGAAAAATCCTACGGAAAACACGACTATATTATATATACCTAGTCAGGTCATAAATTCTGTCCCCATCGCTTAGTCTCTTTCACACATTACTGCTCAATTTTCCTTGAGTATTTATTTATTTATTTGATCACCAACATAATAAACATTGGCACAACAATCTAGCAGGTAATGATAAAATACTTAAGCTTAATGTTATTACAATTATAGGTGAAGACCACATGCGTTATGGAAAAGAAGCAACAAATGCTGGTAAACTGTTGATGAAAAAGCCTTTAAAAGCTTTGTAAGATTTAAAAAAAAACATATATTCAACAATGTCCCGGTTAAAATCAATGCATTATAAGAAGAGTTATATCGAATAAAGTCAACTTATATTAAAAAAAAATGAATCGAAATTAATTAGTCACAATAAATTACAGATAAAATTAATTTATAGAAATAATAACACAATTAAAATCAAATTACAATAAAATTAATTAAAAGAAGATGTCACATTAGTTTATTTTTAAGGTCGCGAATGTCACCCTTGAATAAGTTCAAATCGTTGCTCTTGCTCATGCTATTCAGCTCTTTGATCATTCTATTTATAGGCGCATTTTGGCCAAGATTAGATCGGCAGTAAGATAAGACGAAAATATTAAATCTTGAGGAGCGAGGGAGTTTTGATGGAGCAGAAAATGTCAGAATTTGCACTAACTCAGGAGTATCCAGGATGCCATTCGCTAGTTTATAAAGAAATAACAAGTCCAACATGCGTCTTCGGTCCGAAAGAGAACAAATTTTAAAATGACTCAGTCTTTCTTCATAATGGAGAAGTGTCCTACCCAGATTACAGGAGTATGTAAGGTGCCATAGAAATCGCTTTTGTATGCATTCCAATCTCTTTTTATATACTTCATAAAATGGATTCCAGACCACACTGCAGTACTCTAAACCACTGCGTACAAAGGAATTGAACAAAAGAATCTTAGTTTTAGGAGACCTAAAATCCCTACAATTCCGCAAAATGAAACCAAGATTCTTAAACCCTCTAGAGCAAATCCTATCAATATGAATATTAAATCTTAATTTGCTATCCAACCACACTCCCAAGTCTTTCACAATGTACGGTATCCTCCAAAACTTCGCTCGCAATTTTATACCTATAATTGGTCAGTACTTTTTTCCTAGAGAAGTGCACACAGAAACATTTCGAAGCATTCAAATTCATTTCATTATCTCGACACCAATCCACCAGACAGTTGAGATCAGCCTGTAAAAACATAGCGTCAGCCGGTGTGTTCACCACTCTATGGATCTTTAAGTCGTCCGCAAAAAGATTATAATTCGAATTCCGAAAGCATTCACCTATATCGTTAATGAAAACGTTATATAACAAAGGAGCCAAGTGTGATCCCTGAGGAACACCGGAACTAATAGGAAACGGATTCGAAGAGTAACCATTAACTACAACCATGAAGCGTCTGTTTGCCAGATATGACTGAAACCAGTCAAGCAGGGGTTCACCAATACCGTAATTACGGAGTTTACGAAGTAATACGTCACGTATTGGTTATAGAACGCGAAGTCCATTCTCTAAGACGAATTATGGACCGACCTATCGCTTCGTCTCTTTCACACATAACTGCTCGATTTTCTGGACGATTGCTTATGAAACGCGAAGTCCATTCTCTCTAAACATATAAGACAGCGCGATGCAGATCTGTCCTTCTTAAGGTTTAAAACCGGTTTCTGCGGTAATGATAGAATGATTTTGAGTTTGTTGTATTGTCTTTGTATATGTGTTCAATCAATATTATGATATTATAGTTCTTTGATTATATGTTGTATCTTGTGTTCAATGCGTATTTTTCTTTTCTCACCTGTCCTTCATCAAGACGATCCAGCTTCGCCGGTGTCTGGGTCTGAACTTTAGTCCTCGGCTGCGGTGCTGGAGCGTCGTTTTGCAACAGATTCACTAGCAGTGGCGACGACATGGCCACCGTAGGGGGAGGAGGTATTGTAGGGGGTGGGGGCACCGGCTTAGAAGCCGGGTAGGGGGGAGGGGGCCCGGGGAACGATGATGTGGAAGGACGGAGAAATACTCCGTCCGGGGTGCGAACTGTGGTAGAGGGGTTGGTTATACCTGTTGACAAATAAATAATGAAATTTAATATAGTAAAAAAGTTTAGGTCGAAGAACACTACCTTGAGGAATATCAAAGATCAACCTAACCAACATCCAACTAACTCTTGAATTGCATACAACGCAACAAAGGCGCTCACTTGGATAGCTTAATTATTTCCTATTAGTTAAGTTAATGAATAGTAATAGGATAGGGACAGTGTCAAATGCTTTAGCAAAATCTAGGATAATGGGTATATCAGTTTCGAACTCTTTACAGAGGCAGTGGTAACAATTTGCTCATTCAAACTCATATACGTTACGAAATTACGTTATTTAAACGAAATGGTTAGGACGGAGAAATATCAAAAAGTCGATCATAGCCGCTACTATAGCAAATCATCATGAAGATGATCTTTACAATGCTGCACTACAGGCAAAGACCAGACACAGATCAAGCTGGAACGCGCAAATGTATGACTGCAGATGCAGCCGGGACCAACGGCTTAACGTGCCTTCCGAAGCACGGAGGAGCTCAAGACAGTAAATTCTTGGTCACCCATCCAATGACCGACCACTGCGAAAGTTACTTAACTTCAACGAACGCGCTAACCACTTGCGCCATCGAGCTCCTCAAGTTGCCACAAAGGCAGACGGAATGCGCTAACCACTTCGTTATCGTCATCGAGTTTATTAATTATCAAATACACTATTACATACACAATACAGAAGAATATTAGAGCCTTAACGTACTTCTAAAAGAGAGAAAGAGATAGAACAACTCACCAAGCGTATTCTCCTTTCTGTGAATCACCCTCGCTTGCGTCATACTTCCGAAGGGGAACTCGCATCTCGCGTCCGCCGGCGGCGTAGGAATGTTCTGCGGTATTTTCCCGTCCATCGGACACACGGTATTGGGGGATTTGAAACTATCCCTCGAGACTGCGGGGGGGACTGTCTCCCCGCTGGTGGAGGCGCCTTCCGCGTCGCTTATGAGGCGGCCTATGCTGCCCAGGTTGGATAGTAACTCGGAATTGGCCTGAGGCCGTGGTGTGGCACTGGTGCTTGCTGCTTCTGTTTGAAGAATTTTATACAATTAACTCCACTGATTTTAAGAGCAATTTTAGAGAATTGAATTATCTTCATGTGTTGGAAAGAGCTTAAATAGAAACTAGCTTTGTTTTATGTTAAGATTTCTTGCAAAAGTTTATATAGCAAAAACAGTGTCGGTCCAAGAACACTACAGAGTGGGAGACCAAAGTCTAACCTTTCATAACTACTGGTATTTTTTGAATTAAATACAACGCACGAAAGGCACTTATTTGGATAACTATCGGACGCTATACCATTAATTCTTATTGGTTTAAGTTTTTGAGCAGTTATAGAACAGTGATAGGGTTTAATGCTTTAGAAAAATCTAGGAAAATTTATATTTAGTATTTATAAATATAACTATTAAGTCTGTATATTTCCTGTCGATTTTTCTATATACAAGAAGCAGAAACTTTTGTCCTCCATGTTAAATGGAGTACAGTGTCCAGTCCACTATTATCTACTTTCATTCCTATCACAATACTTTTATATCTGACATTTGAAAGACTTTACGAACTTCAAAAATAAGTTATTCGAAATAGTAAGGTTTGTGTTTGAGCTAGCAAAATACAATATAATTTCCCGTATTATCATTTTACGTAATTTAACAATAGTTACATAATTTATATTCATAGTTAGTTCACAATCATCAAGCTGCTATATTATGTCTACTAGTACCATTTCATAAGAAAATAATTATTTTTACTTACTTTAGAGAGATTGTATGTTGTGTGTGTATTAATAACACTTGTTATGTATGTATGTAATGGATTCTTCCTATTCCATCCATAGGGAATGCAATAGGGTTAAGTAATATTTGACAAGTTTTAGAAAACGATCTCACGTTATTGAGTAATGTTTATGGAGTCCGTAAAAAGTGGATATTCATCATTATGTTGTGTATTTCAGTAAAAATAACCAAATCAAAAACTCCATTTTCAAGTTGCTGCGAAAACGTTTTCTGGAATATATGGCGTCTTACTAGTGTGTGACATCACACGACTGTTATTAAAACGTCAAACGATACAATGTAATGTCACTTTAACCGGAATATTTACTTGCGTGTGACGCCAATCCCAAGCGTTTTGGGTCACGTGACAATAGATAAGAAAACTATTATCTTTTTCGTGGGTTTTTAGTAAAATTGTTTTTTTTTTGTAAAAATAGTAAAAACCCCTGCCAATATTCATTTTAAACACAGATGCTAATAATTGGCACTTTATTTTTAATACTGTCAAATACCCTACGCAGTGGGGACATTTACATGCTGATGACGTATGTCGACAACATATCAGTGTCGAGAATATTTGAACATTTCTATGTGTGATGTGTATTATTATAACAGTTGATCGTCTAATGCAAAACTAAACGCTTCTCTACCTGTATATGAGTGATCGAAGCGTGCTGCCAAGTTCATGTCTAGCCGGCGACTAAATTAACTGAATGACCAATGACTATAGCTAATTTAAGTGTGTTTCAACTGTACACTGATTGTGCATGAAAGAGTAAGACAATGGAGGGGCGTTCAGTTTTAAATTCGACGATCTCTACGTGTGCAAGTATTAGATTCTCCAAATAGGCTAGTTGACTCGTTTCAAATTGTCCTATACAAATTGACGTCATAGCATAGATAATCTATAGACTAAAATGGTCGAAAGCGTTTTTGTATATCCATAAAAAATCTATTTTAAAATTAAAACTTTGTAGCTTTCTAGGTCAAAAAAATTACAATACAATTTTTTTCGGTCTAATAGAACAATTATTAACCATTTAAAAAATATTTACAAAAAGTGTCAACTAGCCTATTCCGTCCACAGGGACGGCTTGCACCCTAACAGCAACGGCATTTAGACATTTGAGTTTATTGACAAGGTCGGGCGGCCGCCAGTCGCCAGTCGCCACTCACCGTCGGGCTGGGTGCGGATGCGCAGCTCGGCGCCGTGCTGCAGCCGCAGCGACACGGCCGCGTCGCCGTCCAGCTGCACGGACAGGATGCCTAACGCTCGCAGCTGCGGCGCGCCCGCGGCCGCCAGCGCGCGGAGTCGCATCGCGGCCGCGCGCGGCACCGACAGTGTCACGCGCACCGAGTTCCACGGCTCCACCTGGTGGAAGATCGCATGTAGTGTTAAAGCTATTAAGCTACATTTAGTGCCTTTCCTGCAACGATATTAAATACCCTAGATACAACAAAATCGTGGCCGAAAAGGTACATTGTACGATCCACGGAGCTCCGTAAGATGATCGCGTGATCAAAAGTCATATACACCTTAAGGTCTTAATTAAAACGCATGCGTCAAAGACTTCTGCCAGTTCCAGCTCAAGCGAGCTCGTAAAATTTTAAGATTTATTGCTATATTCAGAAGAATATAGAACCTATTTCTTTGACTCTACGCACAATTCACAATGAATGCGCTGTTAGCAATATAGCAGGTACGGACCGCGAGGAAAAGAGACGGCTATACGGCGACGTATAACCGACCATGCATTTGAATAGGTATCACTTTTAAGATTACCTTCTGTTCACTCAATTATGAGGTTATAGTGCGATCATTAGAAGTGAAATAAATCCAATCGCCTAACAAAAGTATATTAAAAATGGGGGCATACAATTGAGGAGCTGGCGAACAAAAAGGTATAATTACGCATCTGGTAAAACTACCTTTTTTTACAGTCCGGAGGTTTTGGGCCCGCTGAATTTGTAAAAAAACAGAAAACGGAAATCAGAGTTTAAATTACTAAATTAATAAACAAAAAACTATGCCAAAAGCTCAATGTAGGTATGTCATACAGTTTTTTACAGCTCCTGTAAATTTTTATTTTATGTAATTATACCGTTTTGATCGCTAGCTCCTCAATTATACATATACATCTACCTATACAGATAACAATAACAAACCTGTTCCAATTAACATGTTATATCGTGTAATAGTAGTAATGATCAGTGTCAATTATTAACGAGGGAAAGAGAAAGTATGTGTGCGAAAGAGACAGACACGCACATGGGAAGAAATATTTCCTTGTAGCCGCTGGACGGTTTATGAACTAAATTCATTTGTTTTTATACGTCAATAGCTACAAATGAAATCATGTGTGTTCATGTATGTATCTTTCGCATAGTAATTATTTATTGTCTTTCTACGGCGATTGGAAGTTCAATGATTTTAAACGTCAATAAGTGCAATTTAAACTTAATGGCAGAAGCGGGTGAAACAATGTGCAGGTTTCAATTCAGTATCCCGCGCTCCGCTGCGGGCAAACGGCACATTTCGTTTTACTACAGTTAAGAAGGTACGGACGGCGCCTATCAACATTTTCGGTGGATTTTTAAAACGTCCTTTCTTCTTTCCATTATTTTTTTTATAATATCGTTGAAAGCAAAAGGAAATCTGTATGCGATTAATCTTTTAACATTTGTATCAAAGAAGTTAAATAAATAATTGGATTAAATAATAATTTCTTTAAACAGAAAGAATCTTTAAACAGGCAGGGATTTTTTTATATCTTTTTAAATTTGATTTGAAACTATCGTAGACAATAAAATTACCTATCAGTTTTGCCAAAAAAGTAAGTATTTTGGGTAGCTCAATATATTTAACATTATAATAGTCATTATTACTCCTAAACACTGCTGTATTTGACAGAAATATTATTTGCTTACACACATACAGTTGGAGGACTAATGAATAACCCTGGGGAATACTATTTTAGGATAATTTGATTATTTTCCTGTTATCCAACGAATAAGCAGACTGGAAAATTTTTTAGTTGGAGATAATAAAATAGTACCCTTTTTGTCTTTTGTCAGTTTATATTCAAGAAGAATTATAGATTGAAACCATATCGAAAGCTTGTGTGAGATAAGAATATATTGACGACAAGGTTTTGAAGAAATTGGAAACTTCAACTACTAATTTAATTCAAATGACAAATGAATAATTGCATACAGGTGGAACGATATTTAAAGGTGTAACATTGCCAGAATCTTGGAAAAGCTTTCAAATAGTAATTAATGAATGGTCAAACACTAGAGATTTAAATATTTAACTATGTAATCTGCAATAAGCCTTGTAGCAAAAACACAGAGTAATCGTCTTAGCTTGAATTTTAATTAATTTTTTATTCATCTGAATTGTAAGATAAAAGACACTTTTCTGTGAAAACTGGTCACAATATAAATTAAAAATATGTATAAATAAATATATATTTGAAGTAAAGAAAAGTTTAACGAGACAGTAGCGGGAGGAGCGTGCTCTCTCCCTCGCACTTATGGTGATTACGGTATTTTTAGTGTATAGCCGTCTCTCTCTTCTGTTATGTCGTTTTCCCCACCAGCAGAATTAGAAAACCTTGTTTCTTCTGAACGGATTTAGATATTGTTTTTTTTTTATATTTCAGGTAAATATCGCTACTTTTTCTTAAATCTGCTTTTTCTTTTTTATTGTAGCTAAGAACCGCACTGAAGGGTGCCAGGAAAAATATTTATGAATGATCCTGAACCAGTTTTTATTCATCCTTCCTAATTAGTTGCATCAACGAAATTGTTCAGAAATAACCTTCCTGCCTTCTCTTATAAGAAGACGAGAGCCAAGTAAAGAATAACGAAAGAAGAAATAGTCCTACAATAAAAAAAACTGCAGTTTAAATGCGACGTACTGTAATTCTGAACTTTCAGCATTTGCTCTTTGTGCATGAAAAGTTGTTGTTGTATAAAGTTTGTTTAGACGTTTAGCACAAAGACGTAAGACAGACGTCACTCCACAAGGATTAAGTAATGTACAATAGAATAAGTTGGTGGTCTAGCATTTTAACTTTGATCCGGACAGTTTATAGTTTCCACCCAAGATTGGGATCAAGCTAGGCGAATTATCGGAACATAAAATTAAATCCACAGTTGTGATCTCCAATACGTTGTAGTCAACGATATTAAATACCCTAGATACACCACGGGCGCTCAAAATGTGTCCCCCAATCAAAAAGTGCTTGAACACGACTCAAGAACTTCGTTCTAAAGTCAAGATGCAGCAGAGCTCCGTGAAAAAAATGGAAATAAATACTTATAGTACTTAAGGTGTCCTTTTTTCGACAGGTATCAAATCAATGTAAGTTAATTTAACGCATGTCAAGCAAATTTTGTTCTAATACTTACTATAAACTGATTTAATATAAAATATTTGTGATATTCAAATGCATGGTCGGTAATATAGCCGTCTCTTTTCCTCGCGGTCCATACCTGATATATTGGTAACAGCGCATTCAAAATTGCGCGCAGAGTCAAAGAAATAAGGTCTATATTCTTCCACGTATAGCAATAAATCGTAAAATTATACGAGCTTGCATTTCGAACTGTCTTAACTCTTTGACAAATGCGTTTTAATTAAGACCTTATACAGTATGCATCAAAGCTGACTTTTAATGTTTAAATATTGCCTTATATTGTTTTTGACTACTCGATCATGTTACGGAGCTCCGTGGATCGTCCAATGTACCTTTTGGACAGGTTTCGGTGACGATTTTGTTCGTGATGCTGTATCTATAGTCTAGTAACAGTGCCAGTCGAGTTGCATACCACTAAAAAACTAAAAGAATAAAGGGCCTAAAAAAAATGCCTGTCGATTTGCGTAAACAACTAGCCTACCCGTAAAGCAGAAGACTAAGAACTAAGCAACGATAACGTCATTTCCACTCCTACCTCAAAACTATAATCTTTGCAACTTGTACAGTTTACTTGTACATAAAAATTTGCTAACACCGCGAACGTCACTCAGGCCGCGTCAATGACCCGCGTTTACCTAGAGTGTCATATTATCGTAATTATAAATTATTATTTCTTTATTTAAAGACAGTGCAATTAGAAACGCGAACTAATTAACACACATTAGAGACAAGAATAGCCTACACCTTAACTGTAACTTTGTTTACAATATATCTCGGTATTTATCTCTCTCTGATCTTTTTCTCCTGCACTCCAATTAACTAAATCTCAACAACAACTACATTAAAAGGTGTACAAACTGTACATTTTTTGGTCCTTCGACAATAAGGATTCGGGAGTTTTTTGTGTCTCTAACTCAGTGGCGAATCGGTCCAGCTGGCCTCTCACAAGCGAGAATCCCCAGTTGTATTGAGAAGGCGCACACACTGTTTGAGAGTGCATAAACACCGGAATCTGGATACGACCAATTTTCAAGCTTGAAATTGTGAAGATTGCGAATCATCAAGTGGTCTTCGTGTCGTGAATCAACGCAAAACTCTACCTCTGTCACTGTCAACTACGTGCCAGCAACATGGACAAATTGGAGATTCAATCAACTTGCTACGCGAATATCAAGACCTTGTGTGTCAACTATCGCAAGGATTCTTCATCTCGAAAAAACGAAGAGTTTTTTCTGAGAAAAAAGGTAAACAAACCATAAAAAGGAATCGAATTCTATATGCAGCATGACTTTATAGTCATAATTCAAACCAGTGCCATTAAAAAAACTTAATCAGTGACTACTACCCAAACTTTGAACGCATTATAATACTACCACATTGAAGAGTAATGATAAAGCTAATCATTTATGTTGAAATATGAAATTTTGTAATCGGTCTGGTCACACCAGCCAACTTTACTCTCAATAAAGAAGTTTTAGAAACATTGGTTTATTTGTTTACCTTTTGTCTCATGCTGGCACTTGGCTATTTGTATTTGCGTTTTTGTCATGTTAATTTCATCGACAAAACATTTGCTATATTTACCAACATCATATTTGACAAATATGACAAATGATCGTCATATCGCTGATCTGTGGTTTTGCGTTATTGGGCACCATGTGTTTTTTTGCCATAAAAATAGATACAGAATAGTAAGTCTGTGGATGTAATGTCTATGGTTTTTGCTGTTGGCATGGCATTCTGGCCAAGTATAGTTAGTTTATTTGATAAAACATTGGCTTTATTTGCATATTCAGCAAATGGGACAATAAGGATGATGACTATTTTTTTTTCTTCGTTTATCAGGTAGATTATCAAAAAGTATTGGACACATATTTTTTCTTTTTTCACATAATATAAACATTGCAGAGAAATATTGATTTGAAAAGTCGCATGACGTCACATTTGAGTACACTTTTAAGCGAAAATTCACTAAAAAGTGACGTCACGAGCCCCTACTCCCAAACTTTGACGCGCTATAACTTTGTCATTTTTTGGTTGATTGCCGTAAGAAAAAATACGTGTCCATTATTTTTTGATCATCTAACCGACGGACTAAATGGAATTTCGTTTACTGTACCCCGTCATCACCCCTATTACAAAACACACGTTACCGCACTCGGAGAACGTTGAACAGAGTATAGAAAAGCGAACCAACATACCTTGTTAACTTTGAGTGTGTGCGGACTGGGTTCGGCGAGCAGCGTCCGCAGCTCGCGCAGCAGCCGGCGCAGGCGCTCCGGGAAGCGGGGGTCGTGCAGGTCGCCCTCGCACGTGACCACCACGCCGCACGACCCCGCACTCGCCCCCGACCCCGACCCCGCGCCCACCCCGCCCCTGCACACCCCGCCGCCCGCCGAGCCTAGCCCATCGCTGTCCGCTGCCATGCTGGAACACCAACGGCGACACGTTACAAACTTTGTATATTCAAGTGATGCTTTTTATGGGATATTGTAGGCTCACAAATCAGAGAGGCGAGCTCGAACAAATAATGGGACCGTTTCCATATCGCCACCATCGAAGTTTATATGGAAACTATGCAGCGCTCCTCCAAACTGGCTCTTTCCATACAAAATTAAACGATGACGATACGATTACTGCTGAGGAGCTGTCAAAATTCGTGCTTGGGCATCTGAACTGAACCCGCGTCGAGAGTTATGGTAGCCATACACACTACGAGAAATCGTTATGATCAGACTGTACAGTTCGAACGTACCGATAAATCCTAGCGTGTATGTTATAAAACTGCACAGTTTCCTATACGTACGCCACGTACGATAAACTGTTCCGTTCGAACTGTACTGTCTGATCATGACGATTTCTCGTAGTGTGTATGGCTACCATAACTCACGACGCGGGTTCAGTTCAGAAGCAGAAGCACGTTAAGGCACCAACTCCACTAGCAGGAGAATCGCAGCGATATTGTCGACGTGCTATGTATTTCTACACATTCTGATAAGACGTGCCTTTCTTTATACTACATACGGCGATGTTATTGCGGCGATACGACAAATGACTGAGTGCGATGCGAAAATTTATGTATTCGCATGCTATTTTATGGCGGAGCACGTTGTAACTTTTATTTAATGACATGTGAGACCTTAAATACCATGTTTGTTGCAAATAAATTCTATTCTATTCTATAATAAATCATCGGCGAATCGTCGCGCGCTGAAGTCTTGCTGAAGAACGTGCACCCTCGCAGCGAGAAAACGGTGCATGCTGTGTCAAATTTCAGGTGATTGCGCACTAGAATAACTAGTACAGCACTAATAGTAATTGTGAACACGCGGCGATTCCATAGCGAGTCACATTCGAGTCAGAAAGTCAGAGTGGAGTCGGAAGCACGGATTCGGTACGATTTTCCCATCCATGGAGGTGGCACCTAAGGTGTCTACACACCAAACCTGCTGGACCGGTGACGTGACCCGGCGGGTTAGACCGGCGGCATGAGAACTTTGTAAACCATAACCAGCATCTGCGGCCTGCATCGTTCACTAGTTATAGCAGAGCTTACAAAGTGACTGTATTTTTGTTAGACCAGCGTCATCATAAATTAAAATCCATATAGTCACTACGGCATGAAATGAGCGGGCGGACATAACATGTCCAGCATTCCTTCATGCCGGCCCGGAATACCCCGCTGGCAATCGCGCGCGGGCGCAACCCGCTGGGTTTTAGTGCGTAGACACCTTTAGGCTCATTCATCATCCATAAGAAAGGCCTGTACCCCAGCATTAACAATAATATAGAAAATTCTGATAGGAAAAAATAATTTCAGTTACAAATACAGGGTAAGTCTCTACATGAAATATACTGTACAAGTTATTTTAGAAAATACTTAATAATTTATACTTTTTTCTTTAGATTTGAACATCTAGCAGTAAAATGCTTAAACGATAACTATAATTGCTATTTCTTCTTTCAAAATCTTTAATACTTGTAAAGGTATTCATTTAACATTGTGGGTTAGCTACAATGCAAACAGATGGTGCTGCCTAGCAACCCAACAAATACTAGAGAAAATTCGACACAGCCAATTAGGGCCGCAGTATAATTTTTTTAGAGATTATCAGTAAATTATTATTCTTTTCAGTGAATATGTGGATATTATAAGGAGTAAAGTGTATTATTATAATCCCTTTTTCTAGAAAAGTAACTATAGATGCCTAGATACAGGCAGAACAGACATTTATTGCTCTCACAAAAAATAATTTTATAACAATATTATTGGAATATTCTGGTCTCCGTAGGGCTTGACACTATAATTCTTGAAATAAACTACTGAGTTAAATATTTTATTCATACAAAAATAAATACCTAAAATACTCTGTTTATGAGAATGAATTGGTGGAATGCTTTCTTTATTACACAACCTCTTACAAAAAAAAGGATGGATGATAAAGATGCTAATCCTGACAAAACATTCTGTCATTGATGATGATGATGAATAAATGAACTGATTATGGTGAGAGATACAAAAATATTATATTATTATTATTGGCTGGAGGCATCCTAACCTAACCTAACCTAACCCCTCTTTTACACCAAGGTATAATAATTGTATATATAAAAAATTATAGTCTTAATTTTGTTGTTCACACTTATATACATGTATAAAACATGTAGTATACAATACTTGCATCAAAACTTGGTGGATATACAAAATATGTGAAGTAAATAGTGATTTATACTTATAAAGATACTCATTTTCTATGCAGTGTAAATGAAAGTATAGTTTTGTGTAAAACTAGTATACAACTCGTTTCTTGGTGTAAACCAGGGGTAAGGATAACAAAGCCCTTAGTATTATTACCTCGGATAACAATAGAAAGACTTTTTTCATCTTTTCCCTAAAGAGAGTAAAGATGACATCATTTAAATTTGTTTGATACAAAACTAAACAGAGTTAGGCACTTCTTTGAAGTCAGAAACAAGAAATCATAAAGGGACCAGCTAATTCTAAAAAAAATCTACACTGACTCAGCCAGGAAGTGAACCTGGAACCTCTAAATATAATAACGTACAGATGTACAGATCCAAAATATTATTATTTATTGATCATAATAAAAATTAAGTTTTACATTTTGAATTCATTTGATACTTCAAAGTAACATAATTCTGTGTATCTAATACACCCATGTTTTACGAGAAAACTGTCAGTAAGTTCTTCTAGGAAAAAATTTCTTAAATCTGATATATCTAATGATCTAGCATTTTAATTATTTAAATAAAAACAATGTTAAAAAAAATTAATGCCAGTGCAAAATATTTATAGTAAACCTGATTTATTTGCAGTGTTACCGCAAACAAAAGAGTTGCTTACATTTAAATAAATTATCTGTTGTAAGACAAAACCAAACAAGTAAAATGTGAAGAATAGATAGAAACTTCATAACAATATTCAAGCAGAAAAACTAATTCATAAATACCTTATCAGTTTTGTGACTTTTTTTAATCTAATGACGAATTGACCTTTAATATTCATTCTTATGATAATTGCGTTTCTAAGCTATATATATATAATATTTATTCTATCTTTATATTGATTTCAGGATTAGTAGTATAATGAATTCTGTTTATAAGTAATTACTAAAGTTGTAATTTTAAAATTATATAAAAGTGATAGTATAATTTACAAACTGTTGTGAGTAGCAAGTTGAGATTATAACCAATGTGAATTTTTCAGTACTGATTATTCAACTATGATAAGTTCTCAACTTTTACTTAACTTTTAAATAGTATAAAGTTATTTACTTTGTTTCATTAAAACATATCTCATTAGTTTTGCTTTACATAAAAATGTACTGACTCATATCAAATTAGAAACATCCTTACTTTAAGTGCAAAAAAGTATTTTAAAGATTAATAATGACAATAATAACTTTCTCTTTTGCGCTACATTATTTAATACTTTCAATTTTAATTGTTATTGTAATCAGGTTATACTTACTCACTTTAAAAAAAAAGTATTACAAAATTGATAGCAATGCAAAATAATCAAGAGAATGTAATTTATGTTAGCCAGAGCACAACCTTTAACAAATTATTGTTGTCATTATTCAATAATTATGTTACATTTGGCAAAAAAAATAACTTCTTAGCATAAATACTAATTATCAATATTAAAAATGTCTATAGATTGATTTTTAATACCAATAGCATTTTATTATAACAGCAATGTATCTGAAAGGTAACCTATCATGACCATTTTAGTAAATTTCTGTCATGTATATATTTCCTTCATCAACATGTTACAGCAAGGTCGAAGTTTCGAAAACATTGAGGCGTGTGTTACACAATCTTTTTAACCTAATCGTGATAAATAAAACCACGATTGTGTACTACGTGACATATTATTCAGTTGGTAGCCGCCACAGGACCTTGCCGATGTCCGTCCAACGGGCTACCATCAACCAATGTGTCCATTTTGTGAAGAACACAGCACGTTAATTAGAACTTACAAAATGTAAATAAAACAGAAAAACCAACTCACCTCTCATACAATGTCACATTCCGCTCAATTCCACAAATTTTTTATTCCCTCATGTCCTAAATCATCCTGGAAATTCAATCGCGACATTACAATCCAGCTCGGACGCAAGGCAATATCGGTCCTATGGTCAGTGTCCACTACTCCAAAAACATATGATACAACACAAATGTACCACCCCAATTACGTCTGCGGATTAGTCCGACGTAATTTTTTGATTTTTCACAACGAATCACACGACTAGAAACACCAAAACTTCATCGCAAATCTTATTCACTGATTTATGTTCCAGTGACGCAAAGCTCATATATCGTGAAGAGCAGCAGCCATTTTGAAATGTACGGGGAGTGCAGTCACGGCATGGAACATTAGCAGATTGCGGCCGTTCTTGTCTGTTGCTACGCTCACAAAGTGGCGCAATAGTTAAAAAACTTTATGCAGTTTCCATTTTCACACTTTAGATCACAAAACTTCACTTTATTTCCTTACTGAAACTATCCAAAACAACCTAAGAGCCATCCGATAATTCCAGCTTACCCCATTTGCATGACACACATTAAATACGAAAAAAAAACACTCAAAACACTTAAAATTGTACTTAAAACGCGTCGCGCTGAATCATCGGAAGTTAGGGCATCGCATCAATATAATAGTTCAGTAGAAAAATCGCTAAAAAGAGTAGTATATAATTTACAAATAGATAATTCGGTACGAACAATAACAACGGCCGCCATTTGCAATTTTCAACTTGACATGCGCATTGACTCGGACTGCAAATACACATGATCTAACTTTTGACAGAGGTGAAAATTTTTAAGTTTAACAAATTACATTTATTTAGATTAATTCTAAATAATATGTATATTTTTTAAGCATGAATTGGTATACTAAAATACCTCTATAATCATCAATCTAAATAATTAAAATAAATGATTATTCATCATTGTGTAGCATAAATATAACCCGCCCTACAAAGTCACATGAAGTTTAATTTTACTGAAAATTTTTACTCTATTGGTGACATCTTGTGATTGGTAGATAACATAATCTTTATGTTTTTATTAGAAAATTCGATAATTTTATTGGTTACCGCCAAGAAAAAAGAATGACACAAATCGTATTTTTAATGAAGTCTTTGTTTAATTAATTTATTCATGACCATATGAAGTCTTTGAATCCTAAAAAATATCAACATAAATATTTAACAGATTTAAAAAAGAGGTTGATATAATTTTTAAATGGTTAATAATTACATGACCTCATAACTCAATATTGTTGTCTATGAATGCATTTTCATCTATGTCGCGCTTTAGGCGAGCTCTGTCACTTATTGCAACCAAATTTACGTCTACCGGCATCTGAGTATTGTTGTGAATGTATTTCCAGCAGATAGATCCGGCGCTGGATCTATATTGACAATACTCCGATGCAGAGTTATAGGAAAAACAATAAACATTTACTGAAATAGAAAAGAGCGATATTGAAAAAATCATAAAAGCCTTTTCCGGTACTCTCTGTACTGTACAAACGCCCTGAGGTCCTGAGGTCCTCTCATGGTCCTACGGCCTCCATCCCCCATCCTTCTCAATGCACCTAAAGCATCGATGACACGGGGCACGTTTACTAGCTACAAGCCAGCAAGTTCGCTAGCAGCCTGTAAACTCGCCCCATGTCATCGTGGCATAAAGAAAACTCATGGACTTACAACAGGACCGGGAACTATAAAAATAACAAATAATAGATACAAAAAACAGTCCGATTATACCGATTTAATACAAAATTATACGATCTGGCAGGACTGATTTGGGTTGCATGTTAAGGCAGTACCATATTTACGTGTCGTGGCGTGGCGTGACACGACACGTAAATATGTTTCTAACCATAATAAATGTATGACCCCGATGTGCTTCTGGCGCGTCACAACACGCCACGACACGTAAATATGTTTCTGCCTTTTTACTTCTTTGCGAGCACCACAGCAATTCGTGTCATGCTAGCGTACAGCAGATCTGAGGATGTTACTTATATAAGCTATTTTTTTTGGTAAACTTGCATCATTTTGTTAAATCTCAATATAACTAAAACTTGTTAAATCGCATACAAAAATGACAAATCTACAATGGTGTCAATTCTGGCCTGATTCTCTAAACTTAAAACTAAATTTAAGGTCAGTCTCACCTTTTCATTCAGTATAGAGTAGGACAAGGATGCACTGTTGTCAAATTTAAGTTTAGCTTTAGAGAATCATGCCAGAATCGACATCATTGACGTTTTAACATTTTTCTATGGGATATATTTACTGCAAATAGTGCTTAATTTGTACAAAAATAAAATGTGAAATCTTCCTCTTTAATTAAGGGAATCATTGTGCGGACCCTGGCATGATCCTCTAAACCTAAAATTGAATTTGAGAAAAGCGTGTCTATGTGATTCTTTATACAGTATGAAAAGGAGAGACTGATATTAAATATAGTTTTAAGTTTAAATAATCATGCTGGAATCGACTCCATTGACTGTTTTCATTTGTGTACGCTGGCATAACGATCAAGCTAGCGTACACCAATCCCCAAAGCGTGAGCACGACAATTTACGTTGTCACGTTTTTTTTGCGCCTAACCAGTCTGTCAATATCCATAGTAATTAGAAAATTGAGCGTGATAAAAACAAGCTATTTATCTTATCGCGGTGGTCATGCTAGGAAGGGAGGAGAGAGGAGAGGGCATACTCCAAAACAGCCTAATTGTTAAGCAAAATTCCATAATGATAGCTCATAAAGCAACAAAGATATAAAACAAGACTTTTATATAAGCTTTGGAGCTGACGTTATGGTAGTCACGATGGTAGTAGCGTCAACCAAATAGAGCATATTATAAAAAGTGGTCTTTTCAAGTAACGTAAGATAGATACTTAAAAAGTTTATGCAATGCGTGAAATTATGCCTCCGTTACTGTTAGTAGGAACTTAGACGCTCATGGAGTTGAGCAAAGAATTCAATTAAACTGTATTATTACTTTCTTTAAAACATTTATTAAAATTCAATATGAGTGTTTGAAATTCACTTGTCATGTTTTTTGTCATGTGATGATCCTTTTGGCACAGATTGGAATATTCCTTTCCGGGCCATTTCATCGGCCCAATCCTCAAATTCTCCCTTTCTGTAAAGAAAAAAATATTAAGTAAAATAACTGTTAATGGCCGTACTTATTATTTAATGAACTGAAGAAGTTTGCAAACCGAAATGACAATGTCAATTTTTGTGTGGGAACTTCAACAGCAGCGGCACAAACTACGTAACGAGAACTAAAAATCAATACACATTTGACAATAACATTTCGGACTCGCGAACGATACGGGTATAGTACCCCTAGCACGATAGGGGTATAGTACCCCTAGCACGAACCAATATCGAATTCGAATAGTTTGCAAACCGAAATGTCAATGTCAAATTTTGTATACAAACTTGAACAGCAGCAGCACAAAGTACGTAACGAGAACTTAAAATCATTACACATTTGACAATGACACTTCGGACCAATAAAGAAGTATACGCAAAGCTTGAAATAGATGGCGCTGCAAACGCTTGACCCTAACCACAGCCGAATATTGCAGCTGTCATATTTTAAACGTGTTTTTTTGTTGTGAAAAATATAAAATATGTATTGAAAATGTATTCAACATGGTCTATAATACAGCTAAAAACAGAGTTGAAAAGAAGAAGCAAGGCAGAAAAAGCTAATCTAACAGAAAGGTACTCTTTCAATTATTATGCTAGAATGCTCATTCTCGGTACATAGATGCATTTTCCATGATTATTTCAATAGTTCATGGATCTCAGTAACTTTAAGCAGGCTTATTAGTCAAATCTACCTCATTTTTTCATCAGTCAGACATCTCATAACGTTAGGTTACCTCTGGCTAAAATGGGAAGTATGACATTGTTTGTTTACAGATTTGAGGCATATGACCGCAATTTTAATTTTGGTGCAGTTTTTTCTGATCAAAATGAAGACATCTAGATGCAATTACCTGCCCCAGTTACATACCATGATGCAAACAGCAGCTCAGTTTTACCCCCCCTTTTCAAAGCAACATATACAATTATATTTTAGTCGGTAAGCATGTAGTATTCTCACAACAACCAGGAACTGCACAACGCGGAATTTGTAATTTGTTTAATAAAAAGCTTAAAAATGAATATAAGCTATAATAAATATGTATGTATGTATTTGCTAGAAGTTTTGGGTCAAGCGATTACAGCGCCCCTAGTGGCCAAATTTTGCAGATTTCTTGTCCATTATAGTTGATTAAATTTATTTTTAATGGTTTTCAATTTACCGCCAAAACGCTTGGTTCGATGACGTCTACTGTGTGATGTCAACTTTGTGTATGCTCTAGGGTGTGGTTCGAAATATACATCAGTATACTGGCCAGTGGTAATGACGTCACGAATCCGACGCCATATTGTACTGGTATTATACCTTATTTTTACCGGGAAAACGAATATGACGTATGACCGAGCGTGCGTTAGATGCATTTGATTTTTATTTCTTTTTTATCTAAAGTACAGTAATGGCATCCGAACAAAAAGAATTCCTTTTAATTGACGAGGTGAATAAAAAATCATCTTTATCCGCACTATTTTTAATCTTTCGTCGATTTATGACGTCAGTGCACTGGCCAGTATATTTCGAAACAATTCACCAGTATAGCGTCGATTTATACGTCTGGCCAGTATACTGGTATATATTACGGAGTACCAGTGATGCCAGAACGTCCCAAAAGGGACGATTTTCGTCCCTTTTCTCATCAAAGCGTCCCATCGATGTCCTTTTACATATTCCGTCCCTTTTCCGTCCGTTTTCGATAACGCTTCACTGCAACATTAGAAGAATGCGTTTCGTTTCACTCATTGATTTATTTCACTAAATTGCCATCACTATTCGTTGTACATTGTCAACTCTATTCGTCAAATCACCCAGTAAACTACATCGAATTCAACGCTCGCTACGAAGGTGACGTTTAATATATACCTACCTATATCTATACCAACTCAAAGCTCTAACCCAATAACCTACCATATCTTACCTAATAAAACTTTTGTTGTTGAGGTATGTTTCAGTTATGAAGATAATAGGTAACTTAAGAATAAGTGCTTGCTTTGTAGAGTCGTAAGTACGTACGGTACGTTCATACCACCATGATGTACCTATGTCCTCCGTACCATCTTCATTATGTTTATTGTGTGCCCAAAAAAATATAATTAATATGGCTCTGTTAAAATGTTTTTGAAGTGAAACTTCTTTAGGCACGCCTTGACTTGGGGGGTAAACTGGCGAATAGGGAAGATGCAATATTTTTATTTTTGTTTTCATTTTAAAGAATTCCATGTAGAATAAACCACAGATATATTAAAAAATTAAAACATTGTGATTTATCGGAAAAAATGCGGTTTTAAATTGACAATTTAAATTTTCGCGCGAAAACGAACCTATGGTTGCGATGACGTCACTGCTGTCTGTCACTGGTCGTACTTGTTCGTTGCTGGCTTTAAATTTTCATACTTTTGCATATTTTTTCGACTTTCGAAATATTTTTTTGAAAAATTTAAAATGGACTATCCATCAACATCATGTGACTCATGTTTTGTGCCAATCTACTTCAACAAAGTTCCCAAATAAATTGTTTTTGACTGGAACTTCTGACCCAAAACTGAAAAAAAAGTGGTTTCAAGCTGCAAAGAAAAATGACAATTATTCTCCAAAGACCATTATTTGATGCTGAGAAGATCATTTTGACGTAAGTCGGCGAATATACTTGTATATATGCTTAATTAATCTGCTTGTACGTAAAAACGCATTAGTAACCTACCTAATACTTACAAAACCTGTCTATAACATATTTTTAATTTTACAGTTGGAGAATGACGTCGAAAATTAGATAAAGTTTAAAATGTGTGGCACAATCTTCACATTGGCAGGACTGAACCAAGCTTTGCGTTTCATTTAAAGTAACCTTAACACGATAACCTTCTTTACGTACTTTATGCTCCGGAGAACTCGACCTTTTACTGTACATAATTCTCCATCTCTTTTAATTTGGACATAGCCGATTGCATTATCGCCGTAAGATTTGTAGAAGCCGCTGAATAAAATACGAAGTTTAACAACTACGATTTTTACATACCGTAGTAATTTAGTCCCTTTCATTTCTACACTTAAAAACTGCACTTTGGACAAAAAATGTTATAACCATGTCAACGCTAACTCTTGGTAAATTCCTGGAGTCTGCTTTGATAAACGCAACTTCCGTTTTTATTAAATGTTAAAAAAACGCAATAAATATTCCCATAAATTAATATTTACTTTAACAACCATAACCTCAAAGAAGTTGTCATAACAGGAGTGACGTCACTAAACGCTGATTGGTGTTTTAAAATACGTTCCGTTTCAAGTATTTTTAATTCGTAATAATTGTTAAAAAACAACATTATGTAAAATAAAAACGTTGCAGTGGCATTTCTTTTATATTTTTTTAACATTTTAATCATAAAATTTTCATATATATTATATATGCATCTTCCCTTTTCGTGTTACGATTAGTGTCATCGGTGACTCATCGGTAAACAATGAACAATACCTGTAACAAAATACATAAATCTAGTGCTTGGCTTGGTAGGTGATAACGGACCCAGCGTGGATTGATGGATGATAACGGACCCAGCGCAGATTGGTGGGTGATAACGGACCCAGTGTGGATTGGTGTATAATAGCGGACCCAGTGCGGGTTGGTGGGTGATAATGGACCCAGCGCGGACGGGTTGGTGATAATGGATCAAGTGCGGATTGGAGGGTTATAACGGACACAGCGCGGATTGGTCGGTGGCAATGGACCCAGTGCGGATTGGTGGGTGATAATGCACCCAGCACGGATTGGTGGATGATAGCGGACCCAGTGTGGACTGGTGGGTGACACTGGACCCAGCGCGGATTGGTCGGTGATAACGGACCCAGTATGGATTGGCGTATAATAACAGACCCAGTGCGGATTGGTGGATGATAACGGATCCAGTGCGGGTTGGTGGGTGATAATGGACCCAGCGCGGATGAGTTGGTGATAATGGACCCAGTGCGGATTGGAGGGTGATAACGGACACATCGCGGATTAGTCGGTGGCAATGGACCCAGTGCGGATTGGTGTGTGATAATGGACCCAGCGCGGATTGGTCGTTTTTTTCTATCAAATTTCAGATCATTGGAGCTATAGAAATTTCACTTCAGTCGTGTGTTCCTAAACACACTCGCTTTTTTTTTTCATTTAACCGCATTATGATAGAACTACACTTACCTGTCGTGTTGTGTTGTAACACATCAGAGAGCTATCTCTTTCATACAATTATGGTTAAAGTGAGAACGCTGTCGAAACATCGCGACACACAGGTATAGTTCTTAGTGCTAACCGTACTAAATGTATGAAGCAGATTGCGCCACAATACAACACGTAAGATAAATATAGTTCAGCCTTTAGTTTAATATTTCTGTAAGGCCGTCCTTTTTGACTAAAAATCGTCCCTTTTCAGATTTCGAATCGTCCGAAACACGACGCAGGTACTGGCAACACTGCGGAGTACACCCGTAATCAACTGAAGGTCAAATTATTAACTTTTTTTACGTTCAGGATAAAATAATAAAATACTTACATAAAATAAAAGGAAAAGAAATCGTCAAATAATTATTACGTAATCACAGATCGTCCTCAGACTACATAGGTTCTAAAATTCTTTACACATAGTTGACGTCACACAGTAGACATCATCGAACCGAGCGTTTTGGCGGTAAATTCAAAACTATTAAAAATAAATTCAACTTTAATTGGTTTAATAGAGAAAAAAAGATATACTTTTTTTTGTTAAATTGTTTGTCCCAATCTTTAAATATAAGCAGTTTTCAAAAATTTGGAAAATACCCTATTGTGTTGAATTCTCAACACAATTGTTTATTTACATATGAGTGTTAATACAAAACAACACTTATCGGTCGTGTTGTGTTGTGATAACGCATCAGAAAGCTATCTGTTTCACACATTTATTATGGGAAGGGTAAGAACGCTGTCAACACATCGCGGCAGTTCGCGTCACGCAACTAGCTATACTTTTTGCATACATTAAGTACGGTTAGAACTATCTAACCGTACTTAATGTATGCAACTGATCGTATCAAAGTCACAAAACAACACGACAGTTAAGTATAATTCAGCCTTTAGAACACATTGGGTGCGTTCAGAACCTTGGAGTGACAGTAGTGTCGATTCTGGCATGATCCTCTAAAGCTAAACTTAAATTTGACAACAGTGTATCCTTGTCATTCTCTATATAAAATAAAAGGACAGACTGATATTAAATTTAGTTTTAAGTTTAGAGAATGATGCCAGAATTGACACCAGTGTATTTGACAGATGGTGTCGCAACTCAGTTGTTCCACGTAGTGGATTTTCTCTAAACCTAAACTTAAATTTGACAACAGTATATACTTGTCATTCTCTATACAGAATGAAAAGGAGAGACTGATGTTAAAAGTTTTAAGTTTAGAGATTCACGCCAGAATCGACACCATTATCAATAATAAATAAATATTAAAAGTCAATATTTTTACTTAAATAATATTTAAGTAAATTAAACATTTTCTGATTTGATGAGAGATGAGATTCTGGCATGATTCTCTATAGTTAAACTTTTTGACAACAGAGCATCCTTCTCATTCTCTATACAGAATGAAAAGGAGAGACTGATGTTAAATTTAGTTTTAAGTTTAGAGAATCACGCCAGAATCGTCTCCAACATTTACTATTGGTCAATACATGAACTCAGAATGCCGTTGGAGCTGGCCCGAACCCTACTAGTACGACCGCTTCCGTATGTATAATATTTCTCTAACCATAGTAAATGGTGCGCTACGCTACGACATGACCATGCCATATTTTTCTGGCTTTAAATTTAGGTTAAGAGAATCATGCCAGCGATACCATTGACTTAAGACAGAAATATATTGCAGAACTACACCTATCTGTCGTGATGTGTTAAAACTAATCCTTTCTTTTAATGTAAAGAGAATGACAAGGATACACTATTGTCAAATTTAATTTTAGGAAATCATGCCAGAATCGACACCAGTGTATCCTTGTCATTCTCTATACGGAATTAAAAGGAGAGACTAGTCAAATTAATAATGGTGTCGATTCTAGCATGATTCTCTAAACCTATACTTAAATTTGGCAGCAGTATATCTCTGTCATTCTCTATACAGAACGAAAAGGAGAGACTGATGTTAAATTTAGTTTTAAGTTTTGAGAATCACGCCAGAATTGGCACCAAATGTTTAGATAATCATGTCAGATTTAGAACCTTATTCTTTGTAATGTAATCTGTGCATCGTATTGAAAAATTAGCTCATAAATAAAATAAAAATAAAACAAGACGCAATGAAATAAGGTGTTATGGTTAAATTGTATGTAAACACCTATTTCTTCTCTTGGTGAGTGTTCCTAATTTTAAAATGTATTAACAAAAGAATAAATTAAATATTATGATACGTTTACTAATAACCGATCGTATTTTGTCATGTACAATCAAGTGAAAGTATCCTTGTTCCTTATTTTATCATAATCAAATTTTATCAATTATTAGTCTTTTTTAAATTTTGTTACAACTCCGTATTTTTTTATTTGTGTGTAATGGACTTATTCTAAATTAATAAACTTTTATTAATTTATGGCGAACTTACATTAATATCCACTGAAAATATTACTATACAAAAAAAAATAAGTTCATTTTAAAGTTTAGAGCCAGGCATATATGTGCTATTATTAAAAATTAGTAGCTGTGCAACCTTAAAAAAAATATAAATAAAATTGTGTTAAGTGGGTTCTAATATTGTTATTTTTTATTTAAAAATTGCAGTTTGCATTGCTACAAATCTATAAAGAAGAAAATGTCATAATGCCTGGCATTTGTTCCAAATATTTGGACAAACATAGATAGTAAAAATTAGCTCGAAATAAATTTTACCGGTATTGATTCTGGTATGATTCTCTAAGTATAAATTAAATTTTACATTAGTCTCGCCTTTTCATTTTCTATAGAGAATGATAAGAATACTCTGTTGTCAAATTCAGGTTTAGGTTTAGAAATTCATGCCAGGATTAACACTACTGGTCATCCAAAAATAATAAAATATAATAAATAAATAAGGTCTACATAAAGATCTAATAATAGTTATAATTTTTATTTTTTAAGCATGTAACTGCTTGATGTTTAAATCTAAAGAAAATATAACTAGAAAAAATTCCATGCGGACCAGGCAGCAGACAGGATCTATTATTATACTTAAAGTACTTTTAGTTATTGCAAAATTAGAATATTTTGTTTTAATATTTTACTGTGTTATATGTCATCCCGCTGTGTTTCAGTTTATAATGAAGTAGGTGGTACAGCATTAGCTGATGATCAAAAAACAATCTAATGATGTTTTTTATTTACCAATAGTTTGACATAATGTTAAATGACATGAATATGAAATTCTAAACTGTATTTTGTTGAAAAAAAAAGAAACACTATCAATCAATAAGCATTATCTTAAATAGTAAGCAAAGACGATTTTTTTTAATACAGTTAGTAAAGATTGTCTTTTCTTATCGACTTCTCCGTGATTAACTGATTTCAACTTATTCCTTCATGATTTTTACCAGTAAAGAAATATTTATCATAAGATATAAATATCTTTACTTATTATATGCTCCTATGTGTTCCTTTTTTGATAACTTCAAAAATGTCTTTGATGCCCACAACAATACCAAAAACAATCAAATTTTTATCAGCACTAAAGATGTCAAGTGTGCTAATTTAATAAGCGTTTACAAAAAAACTAAAGGTAGGTAGAGTCTAGTACAACTACTTATTATTTCTATGGGTGAATTTTCTTTTACATAGAACAAATTTTTGAGCAGGAAATCATAGAATGAGAGCCAAACCTTGAATTTTGCATTTTTTATGCCCAGTTTTTAGCTTTTTTTATTGATAAATAAAAATGATAAAAGGGAATTGTAACTATCGTTTAGTATGTTATGCAAATGAAAAGTATATAACTCAGGCCCAAGCACAAACTTTGACAGCTCCATAATTGTATTGTCGTCGTCATATTTTTGGTGGAAGGAAACAGTTTATTTTTAGGTAGGGGTGCTGTTAAATTTGCATAGAAACTTTGATGATGTGGTATGATTATGGAGGTGTCAAAGTCCATGCTTAGGCCTCTGGAGGGTGGTTACCATATTTTTGCTTGCTATACAAGAAGCATAAAAAAACGACCCTTCTTGTGTGAGTAATAAAAAGTGATACCAGATCCCAAATAACTAAGCTAAATGAAGTTTTAAATAAGAAGTTTAAGACTACTTAATAATAATAACATTCTTTATTGTAATGTACCATACAAGAGAAAAGTAAATTAAAAACACTTACGCATAGTAATCCTTATAAGCCGCCCTCCTCGGCAAGGCACCAAAGTAGTACCACAATGCCCCAGCGGAGAATGAGAGCAGTATCGCTTGGATCAGCACAGACTTGGTTTGTGCCATATGTAGCCCTCGCATGATTGGTTTAGTGCGGCAGGGGGGTGCAGGGGCGGGCGGGGGGCATGTCGGCGTGCACGGGTTGGGGGTGGGAGGGGGGCAACTCATGGTGCTGGAAAATGATAATTACCATCATCAGACTAATACGGCCTTATTCCAAGACGTGGACTACAGTTTGTCATGGTTTAATCCCAATATTGTCTTTGTGTTCTTCTTAACAAGCAAAAGTGAAAACATCTGTTTTAGTCCAGGTTTAACTTTAGTCTACGTTTTGTAGTAGGGCCGTTAATGTCCCCACTCCAGCAACGGGCAGCTCATGGGAAACAGGCCCAGATTGGTGGGTGCTTACGACTGCAAATGCAGTCAACGGTTTAACGTGCCTACCGAAATATGAAGGAGGGCGAGATAATAAATGTTTGGTCACCCATCCGATGACTGGCCATTGCGAAAGTTGCTTAGCTTTCACGATCGCAGATCGAATGCGCTAACCGCTCTGGCACCATAGAGCTCCTCAAATAACAATACAAACATCTTGTTTATGTATTGAGGACAGCTTGATGGTTCCGACTACTTTGAAGACATTTTTCTTGTGACAGGTGACCCCTTGCTTTTGAAATCTGTGTGCGAGCAACTTCACGTGACCTCGGTCGCGTGTAATGTCCTAACGATACAACCTACGCCAAATGAATCATTCCTACACATTAAAATTTTGAGAGATATATATCTATAATAACGTTAGCCCCTTAGATCAAAAAGCTTTTCTATTTAATCTAATGTTGGCCCACCTTTTTAATTTTTGGTCAAAATTCAAATCACATTCAAAGAAATCATGAATTATCTCTCGTTAATAAAGTATGCAATCCGTTGCGTAAATTAAAAAAAAACAAATATTGTTCCAGAAAAATCGATTTCAATGAAAGATGGCGCAAAGCTCGCACGGTGGCAGCCACCGGCGGAGTCGCGACCACGAGGGTACCTCCTCCCGCTTCACCAACAGCGATTGGGAGGCCAAGGAAGCCCTATACCAGAGGGAACTAGACGAGGCCCGCGCCCGCGCCACGCAGATGGAGAAGACCATGCGCTGGTGGTCGGACTGCACCGCCAATTGGCGCGAGAAGTGGAGCAAGGTCCGCACCGAACGAAACAAGGCAAGGGAAGAAGCAAAACAGCTCAAATCCAAAGCAGACACTCTCGCTAAAGAAGTCACCTCTTTAAAGTCTGAGAAACAAGACATAGAATCGCAGCTGGCGGAAGCGAAACGCGACAATGAGAAATTACTCAGCATCGGTGAGAGCCGAGTGCTATCAGGAGATTTGACTGTGGAAGACGGAGTCGAGTTGAGGAGGAGGAATGTCGGTTACGTGTCCCCGAACGATCAGCCGTCGATAAGGCAGCGCGCGTCCCTCGACTCGCACAAGTTTTCGAACGTCGACAATGTTCTCGCGAACAAACTGGCCGAGTTGCGGCTGCGATTAGACGAAACAAGCAAAAGCTTGCAAAGCGAGAAAGACCAAAAGGCTTTCCTGTTAGACAAAATAGAAACGTTGACAGCTGAATTGCACAACGCCAAAATGGAACTCACCCATGGAGACAGAACGATAGGCTCCACGGATTCTAGTCATAGCGAAGTAGAAAGACTCCAGAACGAACTGCAAGACGAAATAGCAGCCAAACAGGTGCTGGAAGAGAAGATTGCCGAATTAAAGATGGAAGTAGAGAGGCTGAAGTCGGAGAACACTGTGCAATGGAGCAAAAGGGAGTTGTTGGAAACGGAAAACGTAGCCATTTTAAGGGAGAACAAGAAACTGTACAGCCAAGTGTGCGAATTGAGGGAGCAGATTCACAAGCTGAATCGAATATCTGACGGCAGTGTGTACGGTGTTCCGTTCGTGAGTGAGCATTCTAAATTGAACTCTAATGTGCTGTACGTAAGGAAGTCCAGCGCGAGCCCTAGATCGCGGGACTCCAGTAACGGGTCTTCGGAGGCGAATCTCGCACAGTCGGACGCTAAAGCGTATACTTCGGGCGAGGACGAAGAATTAGCTATAATCGAACGAAACGAGAACTCTTGAAAGTAAGTACTTACTTGATCGTGACTTCCTGCAAGTTAGCTAGAGAGTCGTAAATTCACAATGCAACGAGGATCGGCAACAATTTTTACTTTTGACAAATCAACTATTGAATTGTTATTCTCTTTGATTGAGAAAAACCAAAATCCAGATAGACCTTTGTCAAATATTCTGTCAGCAGCATGGCATTATTAATAACAGATACTTATTAATAAGTCCATGGTCAGTAGTGTATCAAAATAATTTATACAAGAAAACAAGATGAAAAAAAAAATGATTGAAATCTTGGCAATCTGAAAAGGTCACAATTTGTAATTTTACCAAACAATAACAAAATAGGTTGTACCCACATAAAGTTAAGGCCTAAAAATTTCGACTTTTAATCGATCTCTAATTAATTTTAATTAAAGAATTAGGAACATATTTAAAATAAAAAGTACAAATGCAAAAAACTATGTATCTACATAAAAGTATCATTAAAAAAGTTAGCTATTTGTTACTCCTATTTGGTTCTTCCTATAAGTATAATTGATCTAACTCTACAGTATATTTTAAGATGATATTTATATTAACTTCGCGTTCATGCCAAATTCGGATCATCTTATCATTATACAAGTTCATAATTTATATAATATTTTGTTACTATTTTCTATATCTATCGACATGTTTAGTTGAATTCACAATTAATCTCTGATGCCAGCACTTCACTCGGCTATTCGTTATAATTTTATTTTTTAAGCATTTAACTGCTAGCTGATATCAGTCTGTCTTTTTTATTTCTCATAGAGCATGATAAGGATAGACGTGGCAAGTTTACATATTTACATTTACACAAATAGCCAAGTGGTAGTGCCAGCATTGAATAAAAATATTTGATATTTTGTGTCAATGTTGACTTAAAATGAGCCGTAATCTATAAACCATAAAGGATACTAACAGACATTCATCTACATTCCACAGGCATTAAAAAAAGAATTAAAAATGCATTTATGAGAAGCTTTTCTTATATATTTCTTACTTACTAAATAAATTAATGAAGATTTTATCTCAAATAAACGAGAAGATATAATGGTTAAATTTGCACCACATCAATCAATATGATGTAGTTATTTCGATGTTTCAGTTAAAAGCTCAAATTGATAGTAGACACTCATACATTTTACTTTAATGACCTATGCTATGTACAACAGCACGTCAGGTCACCACAAAATGTTGAAATTCTCCAACAGATTTTGAACTTTAATTGAAGTTGAAAATCGGTTGGATAATTTGGATAGTTTTATGTAGCCATAAGGCACCGGGTCAGTGTAGTGTATTTTCGTTACGAATTTGTATAGATTATTGACAGAGTGCATGTCATTGAATGAGAGCATCCTCACTAAGTCGTTTCGGTACAGACACACGCCCCCCCCCCCTCCGAAAACGGCTCACTAGAGCCTAGGCAGAGTCTCAGAGACGCCCTCTAGTTGAGTCGACCCCCTCAAGTTAGAGTGGTCTAGAGGCTCCAGACGGAGAGGAGACTCCCCCCGCGCGGAGATGCCATCCGCCTGGATTACCTTTAGAGGCACTCGCCAATTCTCGGCTTGAGGTTCCTTAGGATCTCGCCGTCCCCAAACCCGGTGTCGCTGTAAAGATCATCTGCGACCAAGCCTGTATTAATAAACAACTTCGGCACTTACCAAACGTTTAATACCTAACTCTTCAGGTATTGTAAAATACTGGCCAAATTTAAATATTATATACTTAAATTGTTTCAATAAATAAATAATAGCTTATTAAAAGAAAAGTCGGTTGTCTGTAAAGTCGGTTACTGACGATAGTTGGACATGACAACGTTTTTTACAATGTACATAGTTTTTACAAGTATAAATGTGCACTTTTCACTGCACTTCATACTTGACGAAAACATGTAAATGTATTATTGTATAGCAGCTGTCCACGCGGACGCATAGCTCACTCAAGTAGCGGAGGCCGATTGTGCCTCTTTGTCGCTCGTTGCGTGCTCTTGCTTGCACTTCAAGACTTAAATGGAACGCCTCAGAGCGAGGTAACGCCGCATGAGTCATGTTTTTTCGTGCGTGCAGCCGGCTCCATCGAATTATAAGACGTTGTCATGTCAAAAAAAATACCGAGCTCAGGATCGAACCACCGATCATTTGGTGTCGACCCCAAGACCGTTACCGTTTGGCTATCTGTCTCTTTTGGTAATTTACAAAATTACGGATACCTATCTTGTGTCAAATACTCTACTTCCGTTTCATCGAATCTCAAACCACAGAGTGTTAACGAGTGCTACCGTGCCACGATTCCGTCACTCCCGCAAAAGAAAACGAAACGAAACCGCACCAAAATCGAGCCGGTCAAGAATCTGTACAGATTTGGTACAGAAACGAGTCCGCACCGACCCGATGAGAAAGGCGCCTAACCCCTCGTTTACACCAAGGTATAGGTAATACATGTATTTGACAAATTTTAAACAATGTCTTAATTTTTTGTTCAGACTTATAAACATGTATAAAACATGCAGAACACAATACTTGCATCAAACTTGTTGGATAAACAAAATATGTGAAGTAGATAAGTGATTTATACTTGTAAGATACTAGTTGTGTATACAGTGTAAACAAAATAATCTTTTAAACAGCCACAACAATTATGCTACAAGTTTTGTTTAAAACTAGTATATGACTAAGTTGTTTTAATTTTTTAAGCATATAACTGCTCGATGTTTAAATCTAGTATATGACTTGTTTGTTGGTGGAAATGAGGGGTAAGAGTTGCTATGTGTACTTATTTTATTACACGACTGCCAAAGAGTGTAATGTTTTTTTGAAAATGATTTGTACCTATTAGTGATGTAACGAACATTCGCATTCGCAAAATCTCTGCGAATGTTTAGCGAATATGAATATTAGAAAAAAAAAATTTGAAGAAGTTGTAGTTCTGCCTTTCCTTGAATATTCATTGTTACACAGTTTGCATTTAGCTCGTTCAGCATCGCATAGTGTGAAATAAGTCCATGTTTCACTAGAATTCGATTTACTCATGTTAATAAATCACTATTACTACTTACAATCACTAACCTCAAAATTCACTTGTTTTGTTTACGGAAAGACCGGTGCGAGCGGAATGACACTTCAGTTGGATGAGTTCATATCAACTCGGCAATTCGAAGGAGACTGCCACCATGCCACAGACAATTGGCGCCAATTTAAAAAAAAACTAAATATTCGCATTCGCGAATGTCGGTACCAGATATTCGCATACGCATTCGCATTCGCGAATGTTGACCTATAATTCCATTAAGGCCTACTCAGGCCCGAATTTTAAAAGATTCTCAGTGATTGATCTAGTCTTAAGCATAGTTAGAAATGGATATCGCTATATATAGCACATAGCGACATCTCTTTCTAACTGTACTCAAGTAAAGAGCAACACTTAGTTGTCATTCTCTAACGGGCCTCAGACAACAAACTTTGAAGATGTGATCTTTATTGTTGATTTCGTTGAGTTGAATTTGCAAACAATTTTTTTATACTTATTAACAGAAGTTTATCACAATTTCTCTATACATCTGTGTACATTACTATGTATTAAGTTATCACACAGAATAACCCATATTTTATAAAACTGACTAAAATAAAAGAAAATTTAAAGGAAACAACCAAAATTATATTTATTTTAATACAATTCATCTTTATTATTATTTCAGCAATGTAAATTAATAATACAATAATCGTAGCAACTATGTGATGTTTAATTTTAGTCCTATTTATTTATAGCTTTTACTTGCCTTTTTTAGATTAAAAATAATATGAACTCATAATAGCATTTTATTTTCATGGACAAGATGTTGGATGCCCAGCTCATCAGGAAGGAGGTAAAGTGGCAGAAACCTTGACTGCCTACTTTACCTACTTAATCTAGAAGTTATTGCGTTTGATTGGCCATTGTGGAAGTTAGACAATTTTCGCAATGGCTGGTTAAATGATGGGTGACCAAAAATTTATAGTCTCTGTGCTTGGGAAGGCACTAATGTTAGCACCCACCATTGCCCTGCAACAACGGCTTACTACAGTCGAGGTCAGAGTCACAGAGACGCCCTCTAGTTGGCCATCCGCCTGGAATACCTAATAAGAGGCACTCGCCAATTCTCGGCTTGAGGTCCCCTTAGAATCTCGCCGTCCCCAACGGCGAGATCCTAAGGGGATCCGGTGACGCTGTAAAAGTCATCTGCCACCAACAGCATACACACTCAAAAAAAAACACCATTGTTTTTGAAGTTATACTTCTTTAGGCGCGTTATGAAAAAATGATGAGAGTGAAATTTTAAGATGCGCGCGCATCACTGTAACACAAAAAATTACTATTATTAATTATTAGTTACTTTTGTGTTTACCGCACGCACATTAAGAAAATCTACCAACAAAATAGAAATAGAATCTCTATTTTGTGGGTGCTAACGACTGCATTGTGAAGGCCTAACAAAAGTATTTATTAATCTGGAACAACGGAACCAAAGCGCGATTCAGGAGACTACAGCGCCATCTCTTGACCATTGGTGTAGTAGAACCAAAAACCACTTCTTTATATTTTGTAATAAAGTAACAGTTATAGGTATTCATATTTATAATATTTATCCACATGTCTCTAGTTTGTATATTCGGAATACGTGTTTGAGTTTCATACAAGTGCAAATCACATATGTTCTAATAAATTATATTCAGTAGCGATTTTAATTGAATATTTTGATTATTTATTTATTTTTTCAAATTAAAACTGCATGCAATTAAAAACTAATTTTAAACGATGCCATAGAAGGATAACTTCTCACGCGCCTACATAAGTACACGCACCCATTTTTTATATTATAGGGGGCATTGTAGATGACGGCTCTTCAGGTGACTTATTCGCTAACTATTTTGACATTTAGTGTGTAACTAAAAAGAAAATTACATATCAATTGATGCTTCCCTGAACAAGTGTCATAGTGGCGTTTTAATATGTAAAACATATTTCGTCGCCTTTAGTTCTGTTTTATTAATAATAAATATTTCCAACACTCACACCAATTAGCCTAGCCCCAAAGTAAGCACTGTAAGGCTTGTGTTATGGGATACTAGGGTAACGGATAGAATACATATTAAACATCCATGACTGGAGTACAAATGCTCGTATTCATCACACAAACATCTGCCCCCATGGGATTCGAACCCGGGACCACTCGAGTAGGCGACACCTTGAAACCCGGCGTTCATACCACGGAACAGATAAATTTTATCTGTTCCGTGGTTCATACCATACTAAATAGCTCGGTGATTATCAGTTCCATCCGTCAAAAACAGTTAGGAAATTGGCTATAGGGATAAATATCACTAGGCCTCAAGTGATCGCGCACCGTCATCCCTCATAGACACCTGCAAACAGCCTCAGATGCCAGCCTTCAAGGAAGGAGTAAGGTCTTTTCTTGAAGGTTTTCGGGTCGTATTGAAAAAACTTTCAAATGTTTATTACTTGTCAAGCTTAGATTAAAACTAAAAGGAAATATACGGTACGCTCATACAAGCATCAAATAAAATATGATTCGACTCAACTCCATAAGCAACTCTCGCACGCACACGTCTGTATATAAACATTCAATCGAGCGAGCGAGACAGAACTGTAGGTACGCTTCAAGGCAGCGCAAGCGAAACGGCGAGTCCGCTTCAGAGTCCGTACGGCTGATCTGTATTGTTGTCCTTTTCTTGATAACATAACAATATGGCGATTACGTACAAAATATTCACGACAAACCGTTACTTTTGAGAAAAAAAAGATTTTTCAGTTTTACGAATGAAAAGTATTGTTAGAGCTCCGAGCCATTTGATTTTGAACTATTTGTGTTCTTTATAAAAGCATCGAAAGCATTGTTTTCTTTATAACACAGAATATACGCAATATTGAGTGCACATGCAGCGTGTTTGAATATCCAAAGCGAATTATGGTCATGCACCACAATTTAGGCGGGTTTTAGAGCCGCGCGTGCCGTGTCTTCAATTTTTGTTTTGATCAAGTTGTAAAGGTATTCATTTGACGTTGTGGGTTACCTACAATGCGAAGAGAAGGCGCTGCCTTCCAGTCTAAGAAGTACTAAAGAAAATTCGACACGGACAATTAGGTCCGCGGTGGCATAATGGTCAGTGCATTCGCCCGGATAGCGGTGAGCGTCAGAATGGCCGGTCACTACCCATATATTTTACATCGAAATAATTATAGAAAGTTGCTACCCCTAATTAAAACAAAATAAACTACTTTTTAAGGTGACCAGCCATTCTGACGTCAGAATGGCTGGTCACCTATCCAGTGAGAACAAACTGCGTAACTAAATAGATTTTTTTTAAAGCAATAGTTGCTACTAGGTTGCTACCTTAATATATATCGTTTAGGACCTAGCTTTTAAGGATAAAGAGTTATAATCAATTGAGCGTTCAGACATTATTAAAACTGAACGCCTGTAGAATTATACGAGCAAATTCGAAATCAAGTGCATAATGGGTATTGCATAAGCAGGCGTTGCGCAATAGAATTTATTTTAAAAGTTGTCTACTATACATTATGTAATGTATGTTTTTAGTTGTAATATAATGAATAATATTATTTTACCGTGCGAAACAAGACAAAATAATGTTAATTTCTGTATTGAGTTATTTTTGTTTGTTTGTAAAAAATATTTCTGATGAGGGTAGGTAAATTTTTACTTTATTATGCAGTACAGTCTACTGTTATTTCTGGTACAATTATCGCATTCAATGTCTGTATTGTTTTATTATAGTAAATTAATACCAATTGTTGAGGAGCTCGATGGCGCTAGCGCATTTGGCTGCGATTGTTGAAGTTAAGCAACATTCGCAATGGTCGATCATTGGATGGGTGACCGAAAATCTTCTATCTCGAGTTCCTCCGTGCTTCGAAAGGCACGTTAAGCTATTGGTCTCGGCTGCATCTGCAGTCGTTAGCACCCGCCAATCCGCACTGGGCCCGTGTGGTGGGTCATGGCCCAATCTCCCTATGACATCCATAGGGAAGGCCTGTGCCCCAGCAGTGGGGACATTAATAGGCTGATGATGATTATGATGAATACAAATTGTGCGGCACGCCGGGCTGTCGTTGTAGCGAGAAGTTACCGACCCGCACTTATTAGGTGGAGAGTCGAACGGAGGTGTCTTGATGATGGAAGTGGACTGTAGCTGGCGAAATAAAACCTCTCAAGATTCGTTGTTGAAGAAAGTCGGTGTGCGCTAGTAATGGATGGCCGGTAAGAAGTCTTTAAGATCCAGGGAGAACCACTAATTATTCCTTCTTCTTATTAGTAGGAGCGCATGTCGCTGAATGACATAAACAAATCTCAGTACCAAACAAGTCGCAAAATTAAAGTTAGTTTTAAACAATAATCACTATGAATTCATTTCAATTATTGAATTTGTTCCACCTGGATTTGGTGAAATGGGCCATTACAAGGCACATTGCAAACGTGGGAATATATGGCAGTGTTACAACGATCTGAATAATAGAATTACAAAATGTAATAAGAAAGTTATGTGGTGTATAATACATTAAAGAGAACACAACTTTTTTTTATTAATTTATTATTGTTAGTCAATATTTGTTTTATTTATTGCATTAATCACTTTAAATAAGTTTGGGTATTGCATAAGCAGGAAGTGGCGCCTGTTCAAGCAATACCCATTATGCACTTGATTTCGAATTTGCTCGTATAATTCTACAGGCGTACAGTTTTAAAATAATGTCTGAACGCTCAATTGATTATAACTCTTTATCCTTAAAAGCTGGGAGGTCTAAAACGATATATATAAAGGTAGCAACCTAGTAGCAACTATTGCTTTAAAAAAATCTCCATTTAGTTACGCAGTTTGTTCTCACTGGATAGGTGACCAGCCATTCTGACGTCAGAATGGCTGGTCACCCTAAAAAGTAGTTTATTTTGTTTTAATCGGGGGTAGCAACTATTTAACGATTAGTAGCAACTAGAAGCAACTGGGTAGCAACTTTCTATAATTATTTCGATGTAAAACATGGGTAGTGACCGGCCATTCTGACGCTCACAATAGGCTAGTTGACCCTTTTTGGAAAAAGGTTTTAAATGGTTAATAAATGTTCTATAAGACCGAAAAAAAATGTATTGTATTTTTTTGAGACCTAAAAAGCTACAAATCTTTAATTTGAAAATAGATTTTTCATGGACATACAAAAACGCTATCGGCCATTTTAGTCTATAGATTATCTATGCTATGACGTTAACTGCAGTAAACACATAGAGAAAGGTACATAAACAGGCCAGAATAAATTAAAAAAAAAAAAGGTAAATAAACAAAAACTCGTAAGAAAATAACTGACTTTATAATAAACAAAAGATGATTTCTAATAAATACCCCGAAAAATAAAGTAATTATCATTATTGTATTGTACGAGAATATAAAAACACATCCTTGAAGATTCCAGGAAAGTTGTGAATTAAAAGTGCCGAAAGAAATTAACCTACGCAACTTTATTACACTTATTCATATGTTGTATCAGTTTTATGTTTATTACTACATTGTAATACTAAATACACTGTACTTACATAGATGCCTTGTCGTTTCTCTGCTCCGCAGAGCAGAAATCGGGGTTTAGTGAAATAAATTCACCAACCATGAATACGTCAATTCTTGGCAGATTTGTGCTTTCTGTTTTCACAAAGTCGGCATCCATAATTAGTTTTTTCAAAAAAAACAGTAAACGGAAATTTTTCTAAAGTTAAAAGTGTTTTTAAGATAAATTTAGTCATACGAAAGAATCCACCCACAATAACACGCGAATGACATTTAGTTGTTTACCATATGAGACGTCACAATCATGGCGGATGTGGCGAACAGCGTTTTTAGTGTTTAAAAAATATAGACTAAAAAATATTTTTTAAAATTAAATTTCTACAGCAATCTTCTGCTTTTATGAAGTGAAATTGATATATTTAGGTTCCTTAGACCAAATACTTTATGAAATAAACATTTATTTAATACAATTCGACATGAGTCAACTAGCCTATTATTTCGATGTAAAATATGGGTAGTGACCGGCCATTCTGACGCTCACCAAAATTTCTATAGCAATGGGATCATGTACCTACCTACAAGATGGCAAAAAGTTATCGAACAAAATGACACAAGTTAAATGTAAATAAACTTTATTATTATTCAAAATCATTTTTTGATTTCGAATTTTCATATTCAGAAAATGCGAACCAAAATCAGTCGAGCCTCAGTTCTCGGGCTAAAATCTGGATTAATGGGTGCAACCAATCCAAGTCTGTACAAAGAGAGAGAGACAAAGCGATAGTCTGCCGCACTATCGCTTTGTCTCTCTCACACTTGTCTGCCCAGTTTTACTGAACAGTTGGACAGGGAACACTGGTCCATTCTCTATTTCTACGACCTCCAAATCGTCACACCATCTCAATCTTTTTCCTTTTTCTTAACCCCAGCACTTTTATCATCATCATTAAAATTAGCAACTTTCAACATACCCAACCGTTTGAACTTCGACTTCATAACTGGCTTTTTAAGATCTCTCTTCTCCTTCCTTCTCAGAAGAGGACTGTGTGTCTTCTTATCTATTTCCTTATTCTGCTTCGTTTGCCGCTTAACGGGGGCTGGTTTAAATTCTGCTACTTCTGCTTTTTCATTAACACCCTCAGAAGTACCTTCACCATCTTCTAAATTTTTCGATATAGCTTTCTCTTGTTTTTCGTCCTTCAATTTCGACTTTAGTTCATCAATAATCTCGATCTCATACAATTTACCTCCTTGCTCTTCTCTGATGTAAACTGGTAAGCAATCTATGGAGATGTATATTTCTTTCTCTTCTGCATGTTGGTTTTCAACGTTATCTAGGTTTGGCTGTTTGGACGTTGCAGTAGTATTATCATTTATAGTATCACCAATGATCTTTTCTTTAGCAAAATCATCGAGGATTAGATCATCGGAAGCATCAGTAGTATCATCATTATTGCTATCAATGATCTTTTCTTTATCAAAATTATCAAGGTTTATATCATTGGATGTATCAGTATGGTTGTCACTATTGGTTTCATTAGGCGGTGTAGACTGGTCTTTATTAGAACTGAAATCTGAGTTTTTACGTTTCCGCTTCTTGGCTTTTGGCAATTTTCCCGATGTTTTGCGTTTGACTAAAGTAACTGGTTTGGGGCTTTGTCGACGAACACCACCAGGTTTCTGTTTGATTTCGCATATGGCTTTCTTGGGACTCTGTTTCTTAGGAGATCTGTAAGAAAAAATAGATGATTAATTGACTGATAGAGGAAGCTCGAAGGACCAAGTGATTTTTCTTTCTTATTTAATGAGAAAAGAGTGGCAAAGAAGCATTTGACTTCTCTGATGATAAGATGCCGCTATAATATATATAACTTTGCGTTGACAGAGGCTCTAGTAAATGCTTCTTTCTAGAGCAGAAGAACTAGTAATGGCCTTAGGTTCGAATCCCGTTAGGAACATTTGCTCGTGTGTTAAACAAACAAATTCCGTCACCAAGTCATAGTTGTTTATAGCCTTAAATGCCTATGTTTTTTAAATATTGTTTTGTGTCCATAGTACATGATTTTTTTAGTTTAGGGAGTAAATAATTGTTGTGTGTTGTCAATGCCGTCTTTGACCTATTGGAGGTCCCTATGACTTCCGTTTGGTGATTAACAGGAACTAGGGACTTTGTATTTGATCTGAGGTGGACCCTAATCGATCGCAGGGCCCTGAGCACTTGCCCAAAGTGCCCACTGGAAAAGACGGGTCTCTGTGTTGTCCAGAATTTAATTTATTTTTATTTTAAACATGAAACAGCATGTTTTATAAATATAAAGAAAAGTTTACTAAAAAATCTTGCCTAACACCTGGGATTAGCAGATTTATTCGAGTTAAATGTAATGTGATTAGTTGGATACGTACTGATTATACGGTTTTTTTTAGTCGGTGTACCTCAAGAAATAGCTACTAAAAGCCACCCCTATTTTTTTCAATATTTTTTTGCAGCCCTATAGTTATTTAAAAAAATATAAAAAAAATATGTAATGTAAAGCTAATTAAGAGCTTTCACGTCGCGTTGGTTTCATGCGAATGTCTATCATAGTTTCGTAGAAAAATAATTTTAAAGTTAGGGGTTGCAACCCTCATTTTCCAAAAACGAATGGAGTTAGGGGTTTGATAATTGGCCAAAAATTATTTTAAACTACTAGCAACATCTTAAAGGCACCAATGTCAAAAACGACGCCAGTGCAGATTTCATATGGAAACCCGGCGAGACCCTTTTCTTTTATTATGAGATGAATGGCATAGTGGATTTCCGCTCGAATTCGAGCGCCCGTCTGGGGATGTAACCTCTACCTTAGAGAAGACCACAGTAAAATAACACTACCTTTTGGTGATGTTGTGTTTCTGCCTGTTAGTAAGGTTCTAGGGCTCCACGAGGTGGGGGATTGGGTCAGGGTAGTCAACGGCGGGAGTGATATTTTGCGTATCATCATCATCATCAGCCTATTAATGTCCCCACTGCTGGGGAACTGGCTTTCCCTATGGATGGAATAGGGAGATTGGGCCGTGACCCACCTCGCGGGCCCAGTGCGGATTAGCGGGTGCTAAAGACTGCAGATGCAGCCGGGACCAACGGCTTAACGTGCCCTCCGAAGCACGGAGGAGCGAGAGATAGTCATTTTTTGGTCACCCATCCAATGACCGACCACTGCGAAAGTTGCTTAACTTCAACGATCGCAGCCGAACGCGCTAACCATTTGCGCCATCTAGCTCCTCCATTTTGCGTATCGCAAACGTTTAAAGCCTATTTATTTATTTAATAGGTGTACTTACAGCTAAACATATAAAAACATTAAAAAATTCAAATAATACTTATTTCTAAGACATATATGCAAGCCTTTACAAGCACACACAACATTCAATTGAGAAAAGTACAATGTAATTAATAATCAATAATAATAAATGGAATTAATAATCAATACAAAATTGTTTGATTTAAAATTAATAATGTATGTCAAATTGATGCAAAAAATAATAATGTAATGTCAAATTGATACAAAAAATAATAATAAAACTATAATAATGCGGAATTAATGAGAATCGAGCAGCTCATGTCTCAAATCTTATGGTGGCCGCTTACCTTCAGTCGGGACATAAGGAAGTTTGCTACCCTTTTATCATAAAAACCGAGTATGCTCAGACTGAAGTCAATCTGTATGTATCTATACATATAATAAAATGGTAGGAAAGTCAAAACTGTACATTGAATAATTTTTAAAAAGAATACTTGGGGTGTGATCTGCATTCGATACCGAAGCCAAAAATATAGTTTTTAGAATTTTTGTCAGTTTGTCTGTATGTATGTCCGGGATAAACTGAAAAAGTACTGCATGGATTATTACGAGCAGTGAACCTTTATTTCTATCTAACTCAACGCGTACGAAGTCGCGGGCGGCCGCTAGTATATACATATATATATATATATGTGTGCGTGTGTGTACAATATATACATGAATGTACATATACATATTTCAATTACTAGCTGTTAGAGAAAGAGAGAAAGAAAATGTGCGCGCGCACTGCTTTCTGTTGCTTAAATCCCCCACTCACCTCCTCCACCTCCCGTTCGGCTCGCCCGAACACACTTTTCGTAACGCGTAACGCATTACCCAGCCAGCTTACCCCCCCCCCCCCCCCCCAAGTCACGCGTGCGTAAAGAAGTTTCACTTCAAAAAGTTTTCTAGAAATCCTGCCTAACAGCTGGACCTAATGGTTTTATTCTATTAAAAGGCGAATGCCCATGTTTGGTACAGCTATGTCTCACGCATAAAAAAAAAGTTAAAAATAATATGATAATTATTTTCTTTAATTTAAACGTACGTTGGTCTATCAGAATAGCTGTTTTGAACAGGGAATCATTTTAGAAGTAATATTAGTCATAGTACTGTTTATATTTTGAGCCGGATACCTATCTGACGTTTGTTAATTTATCGTGAAAATAGTGATGCCATAGTACCCTATTATTTAAACATTTTAATCGATTGTTGTTTCATATAAATAATACTAGTTTTTACGTTAATGCACGAAACTTTATTTATTTATTGACGTTTCGAAGCCTTTACAGGCTTCGTCGTCAGAATAAAACATTTATTTAATTTGTCGAGCTACCTTGCTTTAGGTAGCTCGAGTTTTATTTAATGAGTGATGTGCGTGAAAACCTAAGAAACAAATACGATTGTTGTTTTGTTACCGATGGTATGTACCACCAAAAAGCAAATAACCACGTGTTACTAATTATTGGTAAATAGCTGTAAACCTAACTTTGAATAGGGGTTATTAAGGATTTGAGGTTATGGCACATTTTTTACAATAACATTAAAACCCCTGTTTTTATTTTCAAAACACCAATTTGTCATACTTATTTGAATATCAAACGATAATTTCACATATGTTTGGTATTGATGCAACCAGTGTGCGGAGTGTACGGTGGTCTATACATCTATGAGCATTCTCCTTTTCTTTATAATAGGTTTTTAACTAGCGTTTAATTAAACTAATTACGTACTTGTTCTTAGCGGTGGCACTCTGTAGATGCCTCATGCCGTCCACTGAGAGCTTCATAGCTTTCTCTTTGATGGCTTTCATCGAAGTGTCATTACTCTCTTTGGTGTCTGCAAAAGAAAACGTATAACCATCGATTGAACAATTTTCATCATCATCATCAGCCTATTAATGTCCCCACTGCTGGGGCACATGGATGGAATAGGGAGTTTGGGCCATGACCCACTGCAGATGCAGCCGGGACCAACGGCTAAACGTCCCTTCCGAAGCACGGAGGAGCTCGAGATAGAAAATTTTTGGTCACCCTTCCAATGACCGACCACTGCGAAAGTTTTTTTTTTAATCTTTATTCAGTACAAAGAAGGCTTTTGTCGCTTAGCGACTATGTCAGCCCCATGATGATACACTTAGTATTATATTCTATACTTAATTAGTTTTATTATAATATTACCCAATTTAATGGCTAATTTTGATGTCGGCTTGGACAATATAATATTGCACAAGCCGACATGTCTTAAGCTAACTTTATGTTCAAAACACTGCGAAAGTTGCTTAACTTCAACGATCGCAGCCGAACGCGCTAGCCTCAGCCTCAACAATTTTATTATATTCTAATTGAATGATAAAAATACTACATCTAAGTTAGTGGCACCAATATCATTGAGCGAGTATTATTTTTGATATCTCTTGTCGCTCAGCTACAAATTAGTAGAGAGAGTTATTGCCGGCATGCCGGTGCGAACAGTCAGCGATTAACTTTTGATATAAACAATGGCGCAGGTGGTTAGAGCGTTCGGCTGCGATCGTTGAAGTTAAGCAAGTTTCGCAGTGGTCGGTCATTGGATGGGTGACCAAAAACTCTTTTATCTCGAGTTCTTCCGTGCTTCGGAAGGCACGTTAAGCCGTTGGTCCCGGCTGCATCTGCAGTCGTTAGCACCCACCAATCCGCACTGGGCCCGCATGGTGGGTCATAGCCCAAACTCCTTATAACATCCACGGGGAAGGCTAGTGAGCCAGTAGTGGGGACATTAACAATGATGAGGTCCATATATACCTTCACTCTTCTCAGGGATACCGTCGATGACCTTCTTGAGGGAAGTGTCCAGTTCTTCTGGGAACTTGGCGTTGAAGTAGCTTAGGTCACGGCTGTTATTGCCTGGGAGGAAAAAATATTATAAAATACTAGCTGTTCCAGCGAACTTCGTACCACCATAAAAAATAGGGGTTGGTGGTAGAAGGGTGAGAATTTAGGGTTGTACGTGTATGTATTTTTGTACGATGAATCATAAAAAAATAAAAACAAAAAATTTTGTCCAAAAAAAAATTTTAAGGGTGGACCTTAACATTTAGAGGGATGATAAATAGATGTTGTCCGATTCTCAGACCTACTGAATATGCATATAAAATTTCACGAAAAGTGGTCGAGCCTATTCGGAGTAGGGTTGCAACGATATATAGGAAATTCGATAATATCGAGACCAAAATATCGATATTTAAAATTCACTGATATCGATAATATCGATATCTGAAATTCCAAAATATTGATATTTCGTAGACTAAATTTGAACACAATAATATCAATTAATTTACCTGCTATGACTATCTAAATTGAATAATATCGAAATAACTATTGCTTTGAAATCGCAAGGGCTTATAGATGTATTAAAAAAATCTTGAACCCCCAGAAATATACTAAACTGGTGTGGATTCTGGCATGATACTCTAAACCTAAAATTAAATTTGACAACAGTGTATCCTTGTCATTCTCTATACAGAATGAAAAGGAGAGACTGATGTTAAATTTAGTTTTAAATTTAGATAATCATGCCAGAATCGACACCAACGTATATAGGTATAATCGTATACCTAATGGTAACTCATGCACTGAAATAAAATCCTTGCCTCTCTTTCTAGATAATTGTCAACTACTGATTAATTGAAATTTAATATCATTTTAATATAACATAAAATAAAATTAAGAATCTTATACAAATCGTAAATTTTTTAAGCTCGCCAAGTCAAGAAAGTAAGATAGGTATAGTAATTTTGGAAGCTTTGGGCTTACCCTATTCTGAAGCCTGATGTGTGGGTTTTACTAATTCATAACAATTGTTTTTCATATGATTGTCTAAAATAAATATCTTTGATTCGAAATTGCTTTTGATTTGATACTTCTTACAGCGCTATAAAAAATATAGAAAATATCGTTTTGGAAATGTTGGAATGGCTGATATATCGGATCGGATATCGATATTTACCTGCCCACATTATAATTATCGATATTTGGGAAACCTTTGCTTCCTTAATTTTAGGTTTTTGCTTTGCAAACTTAATACAAAGCAAAAAAAAGAAAAAAATATCGAGTTAAAATGGTCGATATATCTGATATCGATATTTTCCAGACTTCGATATTTCAAAAGACTTTGCATCCCTAATTCGGAGTAGTTCAATTAAAAAAATATCGATAATATCGAGTTAAAATGGTCGATATATCGGTTATCGATATTTTCCTGACTTCGATATAAATATCGATATTTCAAGACTTTCATCCCTAATTCGGAGTAGTTCAATTACGCAAAGTATTTTATATAATTATAAAATTCTCGTCCACGAGCGCACTGCGAGCGCACATTGATTCGCGGAAAAAACAGACAATCGTCGGCTCGCTGCGAGTCGCTCGTGAAGCGTTCGTTGCAGGCTCGCGAACCACGTTCACAATATTGTCACAAATGCTCTAGAAGCGGAACCGCGATAGAGGTCGAGTAATGCGGCTTATTCTAAAATGATGATGATGAAATTCTAAAATAGTCCTCTGAAGGAAAGGGGAAGGTGGAATAAGAGAGAATAACTCCTCAGAACAGAATTACAACAGTTACTCCGTTAACATGATGCTTGCAACATTGCCGAAATATCAGAAACTCACAAAAAACAAGGTAATGCTTGCAACATTGCCGAAATATCAGAAACTCACAAAAAACAAGGTACATGGTAACGATTCCGTAAAGAACACAAATTACTATAAAACAACGGATTCATCAGATCCTATATATTACCTGATATGGCCTCTTTAGCCTGAGAGTACCGCTTGGTGATGACCCGCAGTTCCCTCAACAGATCCAATTCTTCAGTTTGCCGGTAAAAGACGCCGCGGGGTCGCAACCCTAGTCTGTCTATGCTTGAGCAACCTGCATAAAGTGTTATTATACCTAGTTAGAATAATCACAACCCAAAAAGAGTTTCATAGAAGGGACCTGTCGGCAAGGGAAACAGAGGCATACCGGCGGAGAGATAGCTCGATGAAATATTTAAAGCAACGGGTAAAAATTGGGACATATATTGCGAATGATAGATACAAAAATTAAAACATTACCTTTGACCTAGTCGCGTAAGCGATTAGTTGACCTATTTAAATACATTACCTTCCAATTACTCCCTGATGCCGGTCTCTATCCCGTGTTCCTGAGCAGTAGGGAGCCCAGGATGTATATAGCACATCATATCTTATAGACATAATCTTCATCACTTTTTCATGTACCATTGCACCGTACTAACTATGGGAACCATTCTATCCTAACGCGCGTGTCACACTTATACAATTAAGAGATTAATTTATTAATTAGAGACGTACATATATTTTTGGATCAAAACAGAAATTTAAAAATTATTTGAGGTTGACACGTTACCCCCCCGTCCCCCGTCCCCAAATAAATAAATAACAAGTACCCTTGTAATTTTTAAATATATATACATATTTATTGGTGCCAATTCTAGCGTGATTCTCTAAACTTAAAACTAAATTTAACATCAGTCTCTCCTTTTCATTCTGTATAGAGAATGACAAGGATATACTGCTGTCAAATTTAAGTTTAGGTTTAGAGAATCATGCTAGAATTGACACCATTGTTTATTTTATGCATGTTTTTATTTCATTTTGGTTGATTGCAGATACATGAATGTTTATTAGACTCGTACCCAATTAGTGACTTTTTTCTGGTAATATCAAGTTTTCATTCCTTTCGCCCGCTTTTTTTCATCACTTAGGATTGAAGACTATTTCATCAATGTTTTTTTCTTTATTTTTATGTTTTCTATTTGGTAACTAAGGTTTACTAATGTTATTTCAGCTGTGCACATTTTTGCTGGCCTTTGGCTGTTGTACCTTTATAAATAAAAAAAAAAAACAGAAGATGTACTACAAGAATACATTACCTTCTAAGGACTCCCTGATCCTGGTCTCGCACAGTAGCGAGCCCAGGATGTTAGCACATTGTAGCTTATAGACATAATCTTCATCATCAGAAGGTGCCTTATATGTATACATTACCTTCCAAGTACTCCCTGATCCTGGTCTCGATCAGTAGCGAGCCCAGGATGTTAGCACATCGTATCTTATAGACATAATCTTCATCATCAGAAGATGCCTTAAATGTATACATTACCTTCCAAGTACTTCCTGATCCTGGTCTCGATCAGTAGCGAGCCCAGGATGTCTGGCCCATCGTATCTTATAGACATAATCTTCATCATCAGAAGGTGCCTTATACGTATACATTACCTTCCAAGTACTTCCTGATCCTGGTCTCGATCAGTAGCGAGCCCAGGATGTCTGGCCCATCGTATCTTATAGACATAATCTTCATCATCAGAAGGTGCCTTATACGTATACATTACCTTCCAAGTACTTCCTGATCCTGGTCTCGAACAGTAGCGAGCCCAGGATGTTAGCACATCGTATCTTATACACATAATCTTCATCATCAGAAGGTGCCTTAAATGTATACATTACCTTCCAAGTACTTCCTGATCCTGGTCTCGATCAGTAGCGAGCCCAGGATGTTTGCACATTGTAGCTTATACACATAATCTTCATCATCAGAAGGTGACCTGTATGAAAACATTACCTTCCAAGTACTTCCTGATCCTGGTCTCGATCAGTAGCGAGCCCAGGATGTATGGCACATCGTATCTTAAAGACATAATCTTCATCATCAGAAGGTGACCTGTATGAAAACATTACCTTCCAAGTACTTCCTGATGCCGGACTCTATCCCGTGTTCCCGAGCAGCCGCGTGATACTGCACCGGCCCCTCGATCAGCAGCGAGCCCAGGATGTATAGCACATCATAACTGAGGATGATAATATATAGTCAGCCTTTGATATTGATGAGAGGTTAGGGCATAGCGGATTTTACGATATATCGAACGGTATACGGCATATCGAATTGGAGCGCCCGTCTGGAGAAGTAACCTCCACACACGATATTCAATACCCTAAACACACAAACACGAACAAAATCGTGACCGAAACCTGTCCAAAATGTACATTGGACGATCCACGGAGCTCCGCAAGATGATCGCGGAGTCGAAAACAATATAAGGCATTTTTTGAACATTGAAAGTCACCTTTAATGCATACTGTATAAGGTCCTCATTAAAACGCAAGCGTCAAAAAGTTATGACAGTTCGAAATGCAGGCTCATAAAATTTTACGACTTGCGATATGCGGAAGAATATAGACCTTATTTCTTTGATTCTACACGCAATTCTGAATGCGCTTGAGGTCCCCTAAGGATCTCGCCGTTCCCAAACCCGGTGACGCTATAAGGTCATCCGTGACCAACAGCATACACATAAAAAAAAGGTTTTTGGTGCTCTTGTTAAAGCAAAAAAGGCTTTGTTAAAGCAAACTTGTTTGTTTAGCAATGAGTTAAAAGTTACACAAAAGTTGAGTAATTTCGGCAGCGTATCAGTGAACCAGGCAGCAGACGGGATTCGAATCCGCACCCTCCGCTATCCGGGCGGATGCAATGACCATTATGCTACCGCGGCACTAATTGTCCGTGTCAAATTTTCTCTAGTATTTTTTAGGCTGCAAGGTAGAACTCTCTTTTCGCATTGTAGGTAACTCACAATCAGACAATTAAGCTATACACAGGGATACACATGCCCGTAGCTTGCACACTAGCATACCAGCTCCTTGCACGTGCCAGCTACTGTCATGTGTATACGCTAACTGGCATGCCTGTAATACTGGCATACTGGCATACATGCAGCTAGCACATTTTATTTACTTGCATACCCGTTGAGGGAGGGGACGCGGGGGCTGCTAACTTGGCACGTGTGAACAGACGCTGCATCTAAAACGCGCTACTGACTTGCTTGCCGCAGGGACAATCTAGGGTGCACGGGCGGTCGGCGCAATATCGGCTTGTCTCTACACACATGCCTGCTTTCAGTGTTCGGGCGTATGTTGAGCTAAACACACGCGTTGATGATGGTCCCAGTGTTATCAAAATACACACATCAAAAGTCTAGGGATCAAGCATTTTTATGCGGATTTCTTGAGATTGAGATGTGGCTTTGTAATAAATTAATGATTTTATAAATTTATATGGATCCTTTTTGGTGCATTTCATAATTTGAATCAGGAACTGTGAATCAAATTCGAGTAAAAGATGAAAATCAGCTGTCAATATTTTCCCTATAAAAACATACAACGCATTGAAGACATTATTAGTGCTACTGTTTCCCTACTACTGATTAAAACCAACGTTATTATGGAGCGGCGACGTCATTTAAGCAGGGAAGAAATGCTCAGAGCCGTGGGAATGATAGAAGCTGGTTCCCGGCAACGTACTGTGGCTTTAGCTCTGAATACAAGTCAGAGTGTTATCAGTCGACTTTGGACACGATACCGAAGCACTGGTACCGTGGCTGAGCGCCATGGAGGACGGTATCGCTGCACCACACGGAGACAAGACCGATACATTCAAATCTTAACTCGAAGAGCTCCAACAATAACCGCCATGATGTTAGCCGTGAGGCTTCATCACTCTTCAGGGAACTTAATTAGCGACCAAACAGTCAGAAACCGCTTGCATGAAGTGAACCTTCATTCCCGAAGACCGCTACGGGTACCACCTATAGCAATGCACAATCGTAGGATTCGATATCAATGGGCTCTTGAACACAGAAATTGGGCAGAAGAACAATGGCGTTTCGTGTGCTTTTCTGATGAGTCTCGTTTTGGTATGAGACCGGATACAACCAGTGTCGTATCACTGGAGAACCCCTGGACGCCAACAGCGATTAAAATCCTGCCAGGAAGTCCATCCTTATAGTGGTGGAACCATCATGGTATGGGCGGGTATTTGGATCGGCGGAAGAACTGAGTTGATTTGGATCAGAGGCAACCTCAAAGCTCAATTTTATGCTGAGACGATTGTATCAGACGTCATCGTTCCTCTACAAGTGCAAATCGGTCCCTTATTTCAGTTAATGCATGATAATGCACGACCGCACACCGCAAGAGTTGTAAGACAGACTCTCGCCGCAGCTAACATCAATGTCCTGCCCTGGCCTGCTCAGTCGCCAGACTTGAACCCGATTGAGCATGCATGGGATATGCTACAGAGAAGAGCTCTGCCGAATATGGAGGGTATCCAGTCGCAAGAAGACCTTTTTTTGTTGTTGCAACGAACATGGGCGGCCATTCCACAGCGTGATTTGGATGAACTCATTTTGAGTATGCCAAACCGATGTTCTTGTGTTGTTAGTGTTCGCGGTAGAAATACGGATTATTAATTGTTTAAGTTACCCAATAAAATTTTAGAGAAAACTGTTATTTCAGTCTTTTTTTCGAACTTTTGTGTTAGTGGTTCAAATGTCAAAAATCCCTTTATTAGGAAAATGGCAAATTTCTTTATTAACGCAAAGGTGACTTGGTTTATCGTTACTGTGACAAACGAAAACACTTTATTTGATGAATCCTTAAAGAAAATTTTAATTAATATCAATCAGGAGAAAAGTTATTGCAAAAATATATGTTGATCCCTAGACACTTTTGATGTGTGTATATGTTACCGTAAAAAAGGAAATACTGGGTGAAGAATTGGCAACAGAAAGAAATGTATTGCAAATAAGTAATGTTTATGATTAGAAAAAAATCCACGCGGACCTGGCAGCAGACGGGACTCGAACCCACACCCTTCGATATCCGGGCGAATGCACTGATCAATTATGCTACCGCGACCCTGACAGCCGTATCGAATTCTTTCTAGCCTTTCTTAAGTTGCAAGGCAGCGCCATCTCATCGCATTATATGTAACCCACAATGTCAAATGAATAAATAACTTTACAAGTATTAAACATTTAAAAGAAGAAATAGCAATTAAAGTCATAATTTTAATTTTTTAACCATGTATAATATATATATAGTTCCTTATTCCATTAAAAACACTACGTAAAAAGGTCACTTACGACTATCTAATTATGGCGGACTGACACCTAAACTAGGAAAAAACCCGTGTCTCAGGTTATCAGCCCTCCACTCTTTAAATGTAATATAATACAACACAGTTTACTGTAATTTTGAACATATTGTTTAATATTATTTACTAAATAAACTAATTTACTTGACAATTATAATATTGGATTTGAGGGTAGGTAGTGTGAATATTCAACATGGCACGATGTGGAGATAACTATATAGTTCATTCATTTGTACAGAGAATACGATCTTTGGAAGCCGTCTAGCTCGCTTTAAAGCAACAAAATAGCAGGTGCCAATGCCTACAGCAAAATACAAGAAGAATTAAATCTGAATTAATTGCTAGTAACAACACAATCTCTTATCTATTAGACAAGTCCGTCCGTCCGTCTGTGGTGCTGTTTCAGCGGCCAAACCGTAAGAGATAGATAAAGAGAATATTTAAGTTATAAGTTAAGAATAGTCTGATAAGACTACAAACCGGATTTGAGTAAGGCCGTATACAGAAAGAAAGCCGAAAGCCGATCGGCGCTTATCGGCGCCGATCCTTCCTACATAAAGGAAGCCGATTAAAGTAGATTAAGCAAAATGTCGGACTCATCGGACGATGATTTGGTTTTGTTAGAAAATGTTTATTTAAAAATGCGAAAAACAGCTATACATCCTATAAATAGAGAAAGGAAACGTTTCGGAGAATACCATCATTTATTTGTAAAAAAAATAAATTTGATGAACAAAGATTTTATACATATACAAGAATGATTCAAGAAACATTTTATTACATTTTGGATTTAGTGAAAAACCGTTTGATGAAAAATTGGGGCAATTGGCATAAACAACCAATCCTTACAGAAGAAAGACTTGTTGTCACCATTCGGTAAGTACGAAACAAATAATTTTAGCGCTTAGTTAATAAAAGATAAAGTTATTAGATTTATAAAAACATTATAACTTAGATTGATTTAATCTAAGGATAATAATTCAAATACAAATTATTTATTATTCGGACCAGCGCGTGTCGGCGCCGGTCCATAGAAAAAGGATCAGCGTCAATAGGCGCCGATCGGCTTTCGGCTTTCTTTCTGTATACGGTCTAACGTAGCACTTCCGGTTTTCGAGAAATCACGAAATTCAAACGAAACCACACAAAATCTCCGAAGTTCTTAATTAATTAAATACATTTTTTTTTTAAATCAGGTTTTGGTGAACATTTGGTTCACTGGTTTGCTAGTTTTATTTAATTCACTTCGATTGTTATCCATGTTTGGCGCGCAAGAATAGGTAGGTAAGAGTGACTCTCACGAACTGTCCTGTGTATACGCGATGGTAATACTGGCATGGAAGGGCACAACTTACATACCAGTATTACTTGCAAGACGGAGCCTTGAGGAGCTCGATGGCGCAGGTGGTTAGCGCGTTCGGCTGCGATCGTTGCAGTTAAGCAACCTTTGCAGTGGTCGGTCATTGGATGGGTGACCAAAAAATTCTTTCTCGAGTTCCTCCGTGCTTCGGAAGGCACGTTAAGCGGTTGGTCCTGGTTGCATCTGCAGTCGTTAGCACCCGCCAATCCGCACTGGGCCCGCGTGGTGGATCATGGCCCAATCTCCCTATTCCATCCATAGGGAAGGCCTATGCCCCAGCAGTGGGGACATTAAGAGGCTAATGATGATGATGATTTCTGGCAAATGTATCCGCAGTGTGCCAGTTACTCATGCCAGTAACTTTCATGCCAGCTACTTTCCCGATTTACTGGCATGTGTATCCCCAGCTTATAAGTCAATGCATCCGCCCGGATAGCGGAGGGGTGTGGGCTCAAGTCCCGACTGCTGCATGGTCGGCGTGATTTTTTTTTCTAGTTAAATTTTTTTTAGATGTATACATATCTATAATAGCATTTGAATGCTTAAAAAATAAAAATATAAGCATATCAGTGAATTTTAGAGTGAGTATATATATACCTTAGAGAAACACAAAGAGTACATTTTGACATGCACTAGTAAAATTAATTCGCATACCGTTTCTTCGCGCGCGCGACCGCCTCAATCTTGTTAAGAGCGGCTACGTCTTCTGGGACAATCCTCAAGGCAGCAAACTCGGAATAAGGTTGGAGGTGGATTAGAGCATACACAATGAACATGCCCGCCACTGACTCCTGTTGAAAACGACCAATAATAATTACCCATAAAAACATTTAATAGATTTTGGTACGCACAGACAGCCACACATCAAGTTACCACAAACCGTCAAAGATTCTCAATAGATTGTGAATCTTATGTAAGGCGTCTAAAAGCTCAAAGTCGTTTGGAGAATATTCACAGTTTGGATAACCTGACCTGTGGCTGTCTGTACAGTCAAACCTTAATGGTTTGTGCACATTAGGTCCGGCCGTAGCGGAGCGAAGCCAACCGCAGCAAAATGCAGCTAGCTTACTTCACATTAGTGACGGGTTGGATCGCAGCCTTGACAGATTTTGGGTATGTTAAGTCACAATGATACTAAAGAAGTTTTCACTTCAATAAGTATGGATAGCCAACAATCAAATTACTTACCTCAAAATTGCTTGTATTGGTAACCATATAATGCTTTGCTATTTGTATCAATTCTTCAGATAATTCTGCAATCTCGGGGGCGCATGTCCTTCCACTGAAAAGTACATAGTGCAAAGTATACTTTTGTCAATATAAATAAAACTATTTTAAACGGGTCAATGCATGCAACATGGTTAATGCATGCAAACTTAATTTATTTATTGATAAGCATTTCGCAGCCTTTTCAGGTCGGCATTGTCAGAATAATAATCGTCATTATTCTGACGAAGCAGATCTGAAAGGCTAAGATACGTAAATATATAAAGTAATAAATCAATAAAGTTTGTGCATTAACCTGTTAAAACTAATTTTATTTTGTCAAGTTTTTAATAATTCTCTAAAATTTACAGCAGTATGGGCTGGGTCAACTTATTGAACATAATTAACTTAAATATTAATATATTAGTTATTTTGCACAGCTTTCACAAACAAAATAAGTTAGATGGTAACATTACAATACTAAAACTCACTGATATAAAGATCCAAATTTCATGTCTTTCCATATTTGGCAGAACATTTCATAGGTAAATGTCTCTGTTTTCAACCAACGATGAATTAACTCTTCGCAGTCATCAGCAAAACCATCAGCAATGTGGACTTGGTGGATCAAGCCTCCTCCTTAATGATGTGTGACAAGTTATCATCATTTCTCACTCTCTCATATACATACAACACAAAAATGAAGGTAAAACTGTACTTCCAGGGCCCAAGAGGTGATACAGGGCTCGGCGCGTAAGTTGAACCCAAATTCTAGTTTTCAGTGGCTGTTTTTTGAAAACGGTTGCTGTGTTTCATTAGATATTGTATTGTTAATAATTCTTTAGTGCTATGATGGGTAGATGTCTTTCTGTGAAAAACATGAGCTAAAAACTAAAATTTTGGGTTCAATTAACGTGCCCGGCACTGTACTTGATTTTTTTTGGGGAAAAGGTCTCTTAAATTTTATTTTCATGAGCTTCACCAGTTGCTGCCATGGCTCCCTCGCAGCTCGCGCGTCATGGTCACAACACTAACCTAACCTAGTGTAAAGTATCACCACTCGGGCCCTGGAAGTACAGTGGCTCTAATTTGCTCAATTCTTAAAAAATTGCTACATTATAATCTCATAAAGATAAGCTTCTCTTAACTTGGGCTAATTTCCCACAATGGCTTAGAAGGCATATTCCATTATTTTTACTGAATGCAGAGTATGTTGTTAGTTTAAACCTACTAAGGTAAAAAGCGAGACTTTAAAACCAGGTAGGATTTTATAAATTTATTAATTGGATAATTAAAACCTGAAGCAAAACTTTGATTTGATTTAAGCAGTTTACTAATTTACTGCTCGTATTCACTAAATTCTGTTGACGATTTATGTACTGCATAAACAAACATAATTTAAGTACTGAAATTTACTTACGTGCCATCGTAAAGGAGTTTATTTGAACCTAAATGTAATTTGTTTCCGATATGGTTTGAAGCAATAAACAAAACTTATTTTAAACAGTCTACAAGCAAGATCATTTTATTCGAGTTGCCTGTTTTTTTGTTGCTTTTTTGTTTCATTTCCTATAAACTTTGTTTTCATTGTGGTTTTTATACATGAATAACTGGCAGCAAAATGAATTCGATTGCCTAAAAATAAAATAAAATATTGGTAACTTTATAGTCTATCCCTTTCATTCAGTACAATACAGAAAAGGATATACTATTTTTAAATTGAATTTAGGCTTGGAGAATCATGCCTAGGGTTGCAACGATATATCGGAATATCAAGACCAAAATCGATATTTATATCGATATTTAAAATTCACTGATATCGATAATATCAATATCGGAAATTCCTAAATATCGATATTTTGTAGACTAAATTTAAACACAATAATATCAATTAATTTACCTGCTATGACTATCTAAATTGAATAATATCGAAATAACTATTGCTTTGAAATCGCAAGAGCTTATAGATGTATTAAATAAATCTTTAACCCCAAGAAATATACTAAACAGGTGTGGAATCTGGCATGATTCTCTAAACCTAAAATTAAATTTGACAACAGTGTATCCTTGTCATTCTCTATACAGAATGACAAAGAGAGACTGATGTAAATTTAGTTTTAAGTTTAGATAATCATGCCAGAGTCGACACCAACGTATATAGGTATAATCGTATACCTAATGGTAACTCATGCACTTAAATAAAATCCTTGCCTCTCTTTCTAGATAATTGTCAACTACTGATTAATTGAAATTAAATATCATTGTAATATAACACAAAATAAAATTAAGAATCTTTTATACAAATCGTAAATTTTTTAAGCTCGCCAAGTCAAGAAAGTAATATAGGTACCTATAGTAATTTGGGAAGCTTTGGGCTTACCCTATTCTGAAGCCATGGGTACGCCCCTGATGTGTGGGAGACTAAGCAATTTGCGTATTTGATGTGCGTTAAAAAACCGACATAGCTTGGAAAAGCAAGAATGTAGTGAAAACTTAGCGAAGGCATTCGCAAATGTCGTCCCACATATGCGGGTAGGCGCATTCGTGCTAATAAATGTGAGTGATCTGATCAGGATAATAATTTTTATTTTTTGTTTCCTTTTCGTGGCTGAAACACAAACCGTGCGAGCCAATAAAAAAAATCCTGCTTGGCGCGATTTCATCAAGCGTGTTTAACGAAAAAGCTGGCTCAATGCATTTTGCTAGAAACTCGCTAACAAACATATGAATGTGTTACACACTCACCCCGTATTCTAATGTCAATAAAAAAAAAAGAAAAAAAAATCGATATATCGAGTTAAAATGGTCGATATATCGGATATGATATTTTCCTGACTTCGATATGAATATCGCTATAAATATCGATATTTCAAAAGACTTTTCATCTCTAATCATGCCGGAATCGGACCCAATTACAATCAACACTAAGATGAGTTCAGACTATGCTAAACTATTGTTTATGTTTAATATATATACACTGCCTTTGTGACAGTTTCGAAGGTTATTACTGAAGTCTTGTTCTTTATCTCTGAGCTATCAATATGAAATGTAATAAATATGTTTTATATAGTTTAGGCACTATTAAAGTAGTATTTTTTGTGAGAATTCATTTACTTAACAATAAGCGGTTTTTGAATTCAGCCTGATATACGCTAGCCATGAAAACGGTCATTATTTCCTTAACTAAAAATTATTGTTACAAGGAAGATTGTTGTTACACATAATTTGTATATAAAAAATATCTTTAGAATTTAACCGCATATTTTGAGACTCAGAGTAACAATCTCAGAGTAACAAACGGGATTGCTATGGCTATCGCTTACGATTTCATTTTATTATTTCTGACCGGCGCCGAAGGTTTTCAAATGCCCCGCTCTTGTTTTTTTTTCTTTTGTATTGGCAACAACAATATTAAAGACAATGAGCATCAGATATTTGAAAACATTCGACGGTCAGAAATAACAAAATAAAATCGTAAGCGATACCAAAACCCAAAGCAATTACGTTAGGCGATTGACCCCCTTGTGTACGGTGTACGGGTGCGGCCAGAGTGCACTCAGATTCAGAGTCAGATTCAGATTCTGAAAACAAGCGCGAGAAATAAACAGTGTAGTCTAAGCAGTTTGCCTGCTTTTTCTCGCGCTTTGTTTTCTGAGTCCGAATCTGAATCTGAATCAGGAGTGCAATCTGGCCGTACCCTTCGACTACACTGTTTATTTCTCGCGCTTGTTTTCGAAATCTGAATCTGAGTCTGAATCTGAGTGCACTCTGGCCGTAGGGTGCGGCCAGAGTGCACTCAGATTCAGAGTCAGATTCAGATTCTGAAAACAAGCGCGAGAAATAAACAGTGTAGTCTAAGCAGGTTGCCTGCTTTTTCTCGCGCTTTGTTTTCTGAGTCTGAATCTGAATCTAAATCAGGAGTGCAATCTGGCCGTACCCTTCGACTACACTGTTTATTTCTCGCGCTTGTTTTCGAAATCTGAATCTGAATCTGAATCTGAGTGCACTCTGGCCGCACCCGTACCCTACTGTCTTATCAAAGTCTGAACGCTCCTTTACAGGTCAGCCGACAGCTGTCATTATTTTCTTAAAGTCTGTCTTTTCTAGAAAGACATAGTGAACAAAGCGCATACAGCTTCATCTTTATGATATATTTAGCTTCGAAGTCTATGGGTTGGTTTTTTATGAAAATATTCATAACGTAATACTAATGTAACTGTGATTATGTTTCTACAGATGTAGAAGCCAGCCAGCTTTGCACTCAGCTAATGTTCTTAACTTGACCAAAAATTTGTTCTGATTGCGTTATTGATCTCCGGTGTGAGCGCTGATTGGTTTGATTGTTTGATGTCGTGTCGTTTGATTGGCTATTATCTATTAAGTGGAAATGTAGTGGTTCCCGCACAAACGGTCTATGACCACCCTTCTAACCAATTTTTTGAGTGACCTTGCGTTGTTGACCTTGCTTGGGTGCGTTGCCAATTGGAAATCGAGTGCCACTACCACGCCCGCATTCCCGGCATGCATTGGGACCTCGGTCCTCAGAATGTACCTATGGGGGGTGACCGGTGGAGACCCAGATACTGGTGGTTAGAACAAAGACAAAAAAGGCTCCCCCGTGCTTCGGAAGACACGTTAAGCCATTAGTCTAGGCTGTATCTGCAGACATCACCAAATCCTCCAATCCATATGGCCCTTCTTTTTTTATCCATAGGGAAGGCGTGCCCCAGCAGTGGGAACATTAATAGACTGATGATGAAGAACCTTGGTAAAGAATAGTAACAGTAGGTATCAGCTTGCAGTCGTCGTTACGTCTGTCTGGGAATCCGTTAACGGCTATCGGTCCACCCACTTACATCTGCCTACAAATTGACAACGCGTACAGCCGACGGCTTTCGGATGGTATGGAGCAAAATTGTACGTCCAAGGATATGGTATAACCTGGGACGTATTTTGTAATCTAGCGCCCCGGGCCACTTACAATTTTTGAAGTGATAACTTTTTATGGGAGGTTAAACCGCTTCGTTATGTAACGCGTTACGGCGCCAGTCAGTCTTACGGCGCCCAGAGAGATAAACGCAATAGCCCGCAAAGGTACCAGAATGGTGTCCCCAGACCAATCCCACTCCCTCACTCATCAATCCCTTATTATCACCCACAAAGCACCTTATCTCTGTCGAATCCCTTTTTCACCTACCAATCTCCTGTGCTTATTTAGTTTTACAACTTTCTGAATAAATACCACCAATCACCTTGTCTCTCTCGAATCCCTTTTTCACCTACCAATCTCCTGTGCTCAATTAGTCTAACAACTTTCTGATGTAGATACTCTTCCTCCCTCACCGTCGCTTAGATTAGTTTTGAGTTATTACTTCTGTCGTGCGTCTCGAGAGGCACACATTTTTTTTTAAACGAGGCGCAACAAATTACCCCACCTCACCTTATTTTAAGTGAAGTCCAGTCCCGGAGAAAGATGGCCCTCTTGACCTCAGGGTAAATACGCCCCTGGGCATAACCACAAAGTATGTAAATCGTGTGGTATAGCTATAGATGTAAAACAACCGATTTAAACACAATGTTGCCGTTTTAAACCCCTAATAAATCGTTTTAAACGGTTGAAAACTGGCATACAAAAATAAAAGAACTATGTTTTTACACTTCATTATGGTCAATTTTTGGTCACCTGACGTCATGGTTCGTATAAAGAAAATCAATAGAAAGTACCTATGTACATTTCCTGGGTACCATGAAAATTTAAGTAGGTATGTAGGTACCTTCATACTTAAGCACTTATTTATTATACATATATTATTTAACACACGCTAGATTAAAATAAAAGACATCATTAACACAATACCAACATTTTTTTCAATATTTTTTTTGGTGTTGACATCATTAACACCAACCGTTTTAAATCGAAAAAAAAAATAGTTTATTTCAGTTTCAAACGGTTTTTTTCGTTTTAAACGGATTGGTTTAAACCGGCCTTACATCTATAGGTATAGCCATAGCACAGATACAATAGCTATGTTGTTTCGCATTTCTTTTCTATTTATTCAAGTTGCGTTCTCATATTGTAAGAAAACGAGCGAGCCTTACAGTAGTCGCGTATGATGTGTAACATTTGAAACCTCACCTTATATTGGCAAAAAAAGAAATTAAACCTACTACAAAAGGAATAAGCCATTTGAACATTATTATATTCTAAAATCAAATCAAATAGCGCACGCTTTCGCGACTTCCTGTTACACACTTCCGTCCCATTTTACGAAATCACTCCCACAAATTGCAGGAAAGCGAGAGGAAAGATGTTGCACATCAAAAAGTAAACTGCTGTTTAATCAGTAACTAGTTTATTTAACTACATAATAGTGAACAACGAGTTCATCCATATCCAACTGTAACAAAAATACAATAAAACACAGTCGTTTGCTTACAATTATTTAATTATTGATTTGTTACGATTTGGTAATTCCTTGGAACTAGCGCATCCTAAATTTATTGCTTGTGGCAACATTGTGCCACAGTATAATGTAATGGCTGTGCGCTGCTCGGGTTGCTGTGAGGCAGATGTTTATAAATCACTACTTTTAATACAACTAGGCAGGAAGTTTGTTTAGATTAACGGCTTTTCGATCAGTTTGTACCAGTGTCCGCACTCGCAGCGGCGGGGGTGATCCTGAAATAAGAAAATAAATTTTATTTTTAATCCCACCCACATACAACACAGATGATTGAAGTCCTCTAAGCACTATCCAGCAAAAGAGATTGAGATACGGGATGCCCCACATGTTGGATAGTGCGTAGACGAGTTAACATTCTGGGAAAGTGACAGTAGGTTTTGCGACATTTTCAGAGGTAGCAGAAAAACATATCCCATTTCCCTCATCCCACTCATTAACATTGAAACAATTAACAGAATCAGCATAAATTAGACCTAAGCAGGGCCGGACTTGGAGGTGTGGAGGCCCCCTATTTTAAAATCTGGTACCAAGGCTCACTTACAATTTGCATCCCCTGGTTGGTTAATATTTACGGCCTGCTCTGCCTTAAATCTTGCCCTGGACCTAAGGATGTGTATATAGAAACATTAATGTTATATATTCACCTTATGAACCCAGAGCCAAGTGACAGCTGTGGCGTGCTCTTCGCCTGAAACAAAGAGCAGTATGTTTCGATTGCAAACTTCTATATAGTTACATCGGGGCATTTTCCCACTGATTGGAAAATTGCTGTCCCTAGCCTTTTTTGCAATATACCTAAATCTTGTTATTGCTAACATCTATATAAATAAGGACAATATATTAGCTATTCTTAACATGGCATAAACGAACATCGTGAAATTTATTAGAATATTCAATTAAATTCACTTTCACTGCAAACAGTCCATGTCGTGTCTCATTTACAAAACTTCATGTCTTAAAATAAATATTTACAGTATTATTATTACTCAATGAAAAACAAAACTAGAATACAGTAGGCATCCAAAAAAAAGTTATATTTTTAAAACAACAATTCAAAAAAAAAAATACAGTGATCAAAGGCTGTCCTAAATTTTTTAACATACATTGGCATTTATATCTTATTATATATAATTATATATATATATATATATATATATATAATTGGAATGCAATCGTAATCGGTATGAAGATAGTTTGGTTGTAGAGCTAATCATATTCAACCAAAAAAGTCTCACATTCAATTGTAAACCCAATGTAGGACATAAATTTATAAGTAAAAGATCTAAATTTTGGCTTTATTTGTATACATTTTTAGCTTTGTCAAAGCAGAGTTTTATTTTTTAATTGTATTTACTTAAATTATTGTTTAAAGTATCAACACTTATCAACATTATCTTTAGCATGCAATTTTTAACCAAAAAAAAAATATAATCTTAATGAATTTCTCTCGAGTTTATGTGTATTTGTTTTCATAATTTTATTTATTATCTTCAAGTGCCTTGGTAAATATCAGCTGCATTTAAAAATCTAAATAATAATAATAAAAGCCTTTGACGGTTTCTATCTTACTTTTTTTATAATTACATTTTTGTCTTTAGGTTGTCTTGCTCTTCAGGATAGGCCTCCTCTACTGTCTTCTAAATTGTTCTACAATTTGCTTATCTTGTCCAAGTCTCTCCCCTACTATTTTTATGTCATTCCCATCTTCTAATTTGTCTTCCTCTTCTCTTGCCATTTAAAAAAAACTTAATATTTCATTAATGCATAAAAAAACCATTCAATTTATACTTACATATGCAACCCACAATGCGAGCATCGAAGCAAGAAGGCACCAGTGTGGGGTTCTCGCGAGTTCCTGCAGATTTCTTAAGCACCTTCATATTGAACGGATCATCGTTACCAGTCTGCAACGCCAACAGCTCTTTCCTCTCCATACCAGTGGCATGTTCAATGGGATCAGGCATCACTGTAATGCGAAATGATACATTCAAATATACATTCAAAACCGGATATAACGACATTGAAGGGAGCATATAACTTCGGACGTTATACTATATCCAGTCACAATAGGGATGATGACCGGATAAAGTAAAAGAAATTCTATTTAGTTGGGGAGAACTCCACATCAAAACTTCCCTGAAATTCATCCAGAGCTAATGGAATTAATTATCAATTAATGCCCTTTTAAATCAGTGTTTTTATCAGAATGCAAAATATAGGACTCCTGTCCTTGTCTGTATAACATTTTACTCAATAAATTGCCTAAAAAGTCTAAAACAGCATAATCAATGTCTCTTGTGATTATTGATAGCCTGATAGATTAAACAAAAGATAACCCTAAAGATATATAAATTTTGAGTTTATATGACATTGAAACAAAAGGCTATTTACTTAGTAACCTACACATAAATTATAAGAGCACTAAATGAAATGAATTTAATTTGAAAATAACAAAATATGAACACAAAACGTGTTCGATTATTTGAAGTTTTTTAACTAGTAGTAAGTGGAGTAAATGCTTTAATACCGATCTATTATTATGAAAAACAATATTGTTCATTAAGGCATAATTTGAGATTAAAAGGAAACCTTTTTAATCATACAGATTTCCGTAGAAAAATACATTTTTGACATTACGTAACTTAAATTTTGTTTGACAGGAATGGCGAAAGGTGTGCATTCGTGTGGTCTAGGTAAAGATGAAATTCAGAACTTACTTTTGTCAGCATATCCCCTTCGAGCTGAAGAAAACAATACACTTTTGAGAGCATTTCCGCGTACAATTTGTCTACACAAAGAAGCCATTTTTAAACAATTTTTATTCTACGCCGCTTCAAAGCGAAAGCAAATCGGATTTCTTATCATCTGCTGTCAGAAATAGTGAGGAAAAACCGATTTTGTGTGCAACATCGGTTCGCTTTTTGACTAATTAGTATGTTGTGTTACATGTAATATTAATAAAATAAACTCTTGTCACCAACATTAGCAAAGATTTATAAATTAATATGTATTTATTAGATTTTACAGTAGATAGAAATATGATTAATCTATCAACGTTAGTTATTCGAATAATCAGTAATCCATATTCGGGTAATTTAGATTTTGAAATATTCTTTTATGTATTGTATTCTTAATACATTAACGGTTTTGTATTTATTCAAATGAACAAAAGTTGAATAGTCACAGTTATTAAAATCAACTAATTATAAACGTTATGATACTCAAGAAATCTCCTTATTTAACTAGCGCTTATTAAGAAACTTATTTAAAATAGTCACGCAAATTAGTATCTTTTATACATCTAAATGTATTATTTTTTGTAAAAGAACCTACGAGATGGGTAAATATTGCATCGCGATTATTATTTAGTATTTGGCGCAACGTAGAGATGTCTAGTCTACTAGTTCTCTATTTATAGTTGAATAGCAAGTCGATCATCAAGTCCTTACTGTAAGCTCAACCATTATTACCTTTTTATACTGCACCAGTTAAAGCATTATAATAGACTTTTACTTTATTGTTTACAAAGATTGAGTTCTATCTTAACTTTAAATCCACCTTAAATATTTTAAAGAATTAAAAGTATCTACACATTTTCTTTTTCATGATTTGACTGTGTAGCCGTTATCCAGCAATGATCAATTTATAATATTTAATTTACAGTGGTGTCGATTCTGGCAAGAATTAATTTAAAACTAAATTTAACACCGGTCTCTCGTTTTCATTCTGTATAAAGAATGACAAGGATATGCTGTGGCCATATTTAAGTTTATATAATCATACTAGAATTGAGCCCAGTACCCACTTAAAATAATTTTACCTTTCCTGGTAGAGCAGGTGACATTAGGAGTGAAGCAAAACTAAACAATGTTTGATTCGCGTATTGTTTTTCATTGTTATACTTACACACCACGAAACTTGTGTCTTACTATCGTAAATATGTATTCCTTTTTTTGCGCGCGTGAAATAACATTCGTATTTGTAATTCATCAAATGGGATTAATAAAAATAAACAAATTTTTAGTAGTGTTTTACTGCTGTGTTCCAGTCGGTGAATTAGGTTCCAGGGCTGAGGATCAGGGTAGGCGTCGGCGCGGATGTTGCTCTGGTATCAGAATCCTCTATAGGCCATGTCGGCTGCTTACCATCAGGCTGGCTGTTTTGCTATTGTTTTACCACAATGTTTGCGTAAGAAACAGAGTCATGTTATCAAAACATTATTTCAAGAATAACTACTTAGTAGTAGTACTTATAGTAACCGTAAATTTAATAAATATCCATGTGTTGTTGATAATAATGAAGGTCAAATAACATAACGAGCATAACATTTTAATAACAGGTGCATTTTATTTTAATAATGAAAAGTAATTTTAATTTACAAATGACTTATTCTTTCATGATTTTAATATTGCATCACCATTAACATTTACTTTGAACTTCATAAGTAGACATTGGAATCTTTCCTAAAATTTTCTTTATTAAGTAGGAATGTGATAAAGTAGCATTTCTTGACAACAACGCTGGAAACGTACTGTGAAAAAAAAATTAAACATAAGTCATCAATAAGATATCTGTTTTCCTTCCTACATATAAATTATACAACATTACAAGTACGACGGTAACACTTTCGAAAACACCTCTCAGTCACCTCTCTAACAAAATAAAACTTGCCATGTATATGTAGGTCGATACATATTTTGCTAAATCTACTATGCAGTAATTTTTAACTTAATTTTTCTCATACTCACCATAAATAAGACCTGCACTTTTTAACAAATTGAGTTTATTTTATTTGCACTTAAAATTAAAGAAGAGATAAATCTTCTAGAAAATCAGTTTCTGGTTCTCCCACTTCTCTGAATAAAACATCCCTTAAAAGAATTTAATCTTACATCAATTTCGCCTTCTTCGAGCTGAAACAGAAAAATATTATAAATATACGAAACCGTCGCATCACATTTCTAGGATGAACCCTAATCCTATTTATTCCACGTGAAACTCTAGCACTCTTTCAGCTGTATTCACTAGAAAGACGTAGTGGATAGTAAAATAAATTTATTTTGCAGCAGTCATCAAAAAGGTTGGCGCTCTAATGTCGATTAGAGAATCCACTATGCCCTTCTACCCTCATAAAACCTATGATAGTCCCAGTTCAACACTCCGCTAAACCTATAAAAATTAAATGATTAAATTCATACAGGATCTGCCTGATAAAGCTCCTTGTAGCAAGATGGTGACACACATTCTCGTACGCAGCGTGTTTTCGTCAAGCCATTTATTTTACTGCAAGCACTGCTTTGTTCACATGCAGTTTCAAATTCCCGAAAAGTCATTTCCTGAAACGAATATGAATTAATATAAAGTTTATATTATAGAAGTTCTGTAGTACGAAACTTGTATAATTAACGCGGAGACTGAAATCAAGAGGACAAAAATTGTCTGAAAATTTATAACAATATTGTAACCTTACATTTTTTGGGGAGTCCTTATACTGATATTCTTTGAAAGTGAATGTCACTGGTGAATGATCGGCTGCGCTGTCACAAATAGCATGTAATGCCAAAATAGCATACCAACTAAGAAATATCCTTATTCTAAGCATTTCGTCTAACTGAAACTACTTTTAAAACACCAAATTATTAACACCTTCTTTATAAACACCATTCTTTAGTATTATCTTGACATGAAAAATCAATACTATCACCACCCCTTTTGTTGCCATATAGCAATTTATTAATTTGATATTTTAGAAGTAACTAAAATTCGAACGTTAAATAGTAAAAGTGTTTTAAGATGTTAGTTAAGTATTAGTTTAAAACAGTTGACAATGATTTTGTTAATTACTTATTACAGGAATAGGTTTTTTTGTGAAGTCCCTTATGAATCGGTTATTAGTTTTTACCGTTTTCCAAAGTTCTTGAATCCATCACTACTGTCAAAGAAATCTCTTTTTTGGTAATATTTTGCCTACATAAGTAGGCAAAGGATACTAAGTTCATACAGCTTCGACTTTAATATTTTTATATTTTCTGTTTTTTGCAAGTGTAATGCTTTCAATGTTTTTGCTGGTGTATGCAGTGTTTGGCACATAAGTATTTTAATGGACGAAGCAATTCACTAAAAAGCGTAGCCCACGGAACTAATATTCTATCTGGAATGCTTACGAAATAATATTAGATTTCAAAAAATGTACGCTAACCAGTGTTTCATAAAGTACATTTTTGTTTCTAACTTCATAAGAGGGAAAAATGTTCCGAGCAGGACAACGACGAAAGTGGAGTTTGTCCCTTTCTTGCAATTGTCAGTGTTAATAAAAATAACGTCTAGGCAAACGTAGTGTAGGACGTCCTCAGGCACGGAGGAGTGACGATTTGCGCAAGGTGGCTGGCAGGAGCTGGATGCGAGTAGCCCAAGATCGATCTGAATGGCGTGCAATTGGAGAGGCCTATGTCCAGCAGTGGACTAGGATAGGCTGTTGATGATGATGATGATGAATAAAAATAATCAAATGGTAGTTTTCACATTATCCCGATCACCATAAATAAGAACTAGAACATATAGTTTGAAAGTTAAATTAGAATTTATGTTTGCTAGCTATACTAAGTTGCTTATATAACTATAAGCAACTTAGACCGATAACCATATTAGACAATTTTAAAGCAGCGCCATCTATGAGATTTCAAAAACATCAAGTCGAATTACATGTGTAAGCACTTTTTACCCGACTGCGCAATACAAGAGTGCGAAGCGTGACTCGCAGACAGGGTATAGTGTTTAACAGTCTATATATGTATGTTTATTCCTTTGTGGCACACTAGAGACCAAATGCCTGGACCGATTTTTGGATATAATTAATTTAAATTTGATCATGTGGGCGAGGTCAATAGTTGTTTTTAAAATTCATAGATGTACTAATAATGTATCTTTAGAAATAAACCCCCTTTTGGGGTGAAAAAGTATGTGCAAATAAAAAACTCCACGCGTACGAAGTCGCATGCGGCCGCTAGTTACATAAATATATAGCTATCATGGATGAAGCTCTTAAAAAAACTTACACTACAGGCAAACGGTTGATTGTCTGTGGTGACTTCAATATTGATTTATTACAAAAATCTAGTTCGAGTATTAAAATAAAAAATTTATTTCAATCATACAATCTGAAAAACTTATTCATTGAGCCTACTAGAATAGCTGCCACTTCGGCCACTTGTATTGATAATATATATACAGATATCATACCACAGAAAAAACAAATTATTAATAAACTAGATAGTGATCATTGTGGCCAGTTGATTACATTTCCATATCAGCTCAAGCAGGTGACAAAAAAACACATCACTGTTGTGCCAAAATCTGCTAATCGTGTGGAACGTTTTAAAACTCAATTAGATAGAAAAATGTGTTATCTAAAATATAAAGACAGTCCAAATGATTTATATAATGATTTTTTTAATATATACTGCACTGAATTTAATAATGTTTTTGTACCCAAAAAAATCTGTGTTAATGATGCGGTAACTTTTACTAAGTGGGCTACGCCTGGAATTCATAAAAGTAGAAGGACACTTTATGAACTTTATAATGAAAGAAACTGTAACACTAGTGAAAAATTTAAAGAGCATGTTCGTAACTATTCTAAATTGTTTAAAAAAGTATGCCGCTTAGCAAAATCAAATTACTTAAGTTCAAAGATTAAGAACCGTAATGACAAAATTAAAACGACATGGAATATTATAAACGATGAAACTGGAAAATCCAAAACTCGCAATAATAATTATAACTTAAATATTGATAATAAAAGGGTTACTTCAGATATTGAAGTTGCTACAGCTTTCGAAAATTTCTTTACTGATATTCCAGTTTCAACTACTAAATCTTTGAACTCTTCCCCCATTGCTGCCGAATCAATCTTAAGAGAAAACGTGAAACCTTGTACTAGTCATTTTCATTTTAAACATGTTGACTTCAAAGATGTAATTAAAACGTTTCACCAATTAAATAAAAAGAAAACCACGGATCTGTGGGGCAATTCCGTTGATGTTTCTAAATCGGTAATTGAGACAATAGCTCCTATTCTAGCTTGCATATTTAATGATTGTGTTGACTGTGGTGTTTTTCCTGACCTCATGAAATACAGTAAAATAACTCCTCTGCATAAAACGGGAAGTACATCAGACCCCACAAACTTTAGACCAATTTCTGTGCTACCCACCTTTAGTAAAATTTTCGAAAAAATCATGTTAGATCAAATGCAATCACATTTTAATAAATATAATATACTTCACTGTAAACAATTTGGTTTTACACGGGGTCGTTCAACAACCGATGCCGGCGTTGAACTTATACAACAAATTTTTGACGCCTGGGAGAACTCGCAGGACGCTCTAGGTGTGTTTTGCGACTTGTCCAAGGCTTTTGATTGCGTTTTTCATGAAACATTACTCAGGAAACTCCACCACTATGGATTTAGAGATACTGATCTGTATCTTATTGCGTAATACCTGATGGATAGGATTCAGAGGGTTGACATTAACGGCAATAAGTCTGCGGGTTCGCCGGTTAAAATGGGTGTTCCGCAGGGCTCAATCCTTGGTCCTTTCTTATTTTTAATTTATATTAATGACTTACCTTACTACGTTAGAGATAAGCATGAGATAGTATTGTTCGCGGATGATACATCACTTTTATTTAAACTCAAACGCAAGGAAACAGTTATTGACGACGTGAACAGTTGTATCTCTAAGGTAGTCCATTGGTTTAATGTTAATAATTTATTACTAAATGAAGGAAAAACGAAATGTATTAAATTTGTATTACCTAATGTAAAACAGGTAAAAACCAGTGTGAATGTAAAGGATAGGAATATGGGCCTTGTAGACACCACAGTATTCTTAGGGATTACTTTAGATTCTAAGCTTCAATGGGGCCCACATATTGATAAATTGTCAAATAGACTTAGTTCTGCAGCATATGCCGTAATGAAGATACGCCAGTTAACGGATGTAGATACGGCCAGATTAGTATACTTTAGTTATTTCCATAGTGTAATGTCGTACGGAATTTTATTGTGGGGAAACGCCGCCGACATTCAAACTATTTTTGTGCTGCAGAAGAGAGCTATTCGATCAATTTATAATCTTAAAGTTAAGGATTCCTTAAGAGATAGGTTTAAAGAATTTGGTATAATGACGGTCGCATCACAATACATTTACGAAAATTTATTACTTGTAAGAAAAAATATTAATTTGTTTCTTAAAAACAGTGATGTTCACACACTTAATACAAGAAACAAAAATAAACTAACTTTACCTGCTACTAGGCTTCACAAAATCAATAATTCATTTAAAGGTCTTTGTGTTCGCTTATACAATAAAGTCCCAAGCAATATCCAAGAGTTAAGCATAAATAAATTCAAAGATAGTATAAAAAAAGCACTTATTAAAAAAGCTTATTACAAAGTGTCTGATTATATTACAGACAAAAATGCTTGGGTTTGAACTGTTCCAATCATTCCAACAGGTTTTCTATATTAAATAAATCATGATTGTATTGACGTTGTAACAACATAATGATTTGTAAATGTTGTTACATTATGCTTTTAATGTTGTGGAGTTTTTTTCGCTCGTTTTTCTCCGCAGCTAAAAAATATGTCCAATAACGAGTGGTAGGGAAAAAAAATGTTTGGACGATTCAAAAGTGTTGTACTATACATCCAATTTGAATAAAGATATATTGATTTCTGATTGATTTCTGATTTCTGATATGCTCATCAAAAAAATAACATGTCATAAGGTAATGAATGAACTTTTGAACAATTTATTTATACTATACTACTATGAACACTATGGAAAGTATATTACTATTTTGGAGGACAAAAAATGACGACAAATCTAACTAATTCATTAAGTTTTACACTAAACATCAATTAATAAAACGATGCATCGTATTTTTTAAAGCTTTTAAAGTAATAATCTGTTATTTAAATAATAAATAAATTAAATATTATTCAGTGGTTATATTTTTTTTCCTAGGTAGGTATCTAAAGTATAGGTACATAAGAATTATTGAAAAACGTATCGTAAACGTAAGTAAATCCTTCAGATTTTCTCCAAATTCATTTCGAAATGTAAATAAACAAATTGTAATGGTTAAATCGTAGAGCATAGCTATATAGTTGTTAATATCGATATTGGTGCCGATTCTGAAGTGATTCTCTAAACTTAAAACTAAATTTAACGTCAGCTTTTCCTTTTCATTTTGTATAGAGAATGACAAGGATGCACTGTTGTCAAATTTAATTTTATGTTTAGAGAATCATGTCAGAATCGATTCCATTGGCTTAAGGCTTTTCATTATCACCAACACCAAGCACTTCCTTCCATTCCATTGACAGTGACAATGGTATCAATTCTGACATGATTCTCTAAACCTAAACTTAAATTTGACAACAGTGTATCTTTGTTATTCTCCATACAACATGAAAAGGAGAGACTGATGTTAGTTTTAAGTTTAGAGAATCACGCCAGAATTGGCACCAATGACAAGACAACTTGACAATGAGTTCATGCAGTTTAAATACCCTTTTTTTTAATTACAGGTGTCGATTCTGGCATGGTTGTCTAAACTTAAACTCAAATTTGACACAACCGTGTGTCCTTCCCATTATTTATACAGAATGAGAAGGAAAGATGTTTTTAGTTTTAAGTTTAGAAAATTATGCCAGAATTGACACCCATAGATATACTTTACTATTTATGTAGGTACGTACAGCCACTGTTCAGCTATCTACTTTGTGTCGAATCGAACGATTTTGTCGAAATTTCCGCGTTACGATTAATGAATGTGATTATTTAAGTTGTGCTGAAGTGGTGTAAGATTCTTAGTGTTCACTGTATTTTTACACATTTGGGAATTGGAATTCTACTCAATATTGGGAGTTTCATCGGGTCCCTAACAATAACATCGTTTAGGTGAGTCTCCCTGCACTGTTTCTTTATTGTACCAGCTCGTATTAGTCGTATTCGCCAATTAAAATGCTTAAATAACAAACATTCTTGTTGATGCTCTAAAAATGTTACCTTTGTAGGTAACATAGGTATCTACATTTGCGTTTTCTCAGAATACATAATGGTACAAGGTTTTGTGTAAGTATGTACACGGTTGCATTGTGTAAATAGAAAGGTTTTATTGGAATTTCAACTTTCTTGTCGAATGTAAGGCGGGGTTATCGACATTTTTAATCATGCATGTGTATTCATTTTCTTAATTACTCATCAGTTTCAGAAACAGTCTTTCCAAGTCCTTAGAAGTGTTTATTTTTATCTTTATTATATGGCTAATAAACCAACTAGAACAACATATATTAAGTTAAATCTATTTCCATTGTACAAATGATGAAATGTTATTTGTAAGCTATGCAAAATGTACAGTGATTAAAATGATCATTATAATTGTAATGATTCTACTAAAATTTCCTAGTTGTGTTTCAATCTTTTTACTTTTGTTCCATAACCCTAGTAACCAGCTTTCTTCTATTTAGGTTTACCATAGCAACGGTTTAACACATCCATTAGTGCATTTTCAGTGCATGTGTACTGGCTGATTGTGAAGTTTAAGATATTTATTCTTGTAGTGCTGACAATAAGGTATACTTTTCATTGTCAGATATATCACTTGAGTCATTGAAAGGATTGTAGGGGTATTCGAAATCTTTTTGCTGTTCGAATTGAACTTGTGTTGCTGGTCTGTTATACAATAGAATTAAACTTAAAGGTTACTTGTGATTTTGCTGGGTAATGTATTTCTCTTAAGCTTTTACAATATATTATACATATTGTATTTGGGGAGGATAAATCTGATTAAATTACTTTCTAACCCGTGAAGTATTCTTATTTTAAAATGTTAGTCTTGCTAGCTTTGTTTCATTTTCAAATCTGTTTTTTATAAATGGATTTAAAAAAAAAGTGTTTTTTTAGTAAATCAACTATGAGTCAATATTGTTTTTCATCATTTTCTTAACTAATAATGACTTTTGTCACTCTTATCAATGTTTTTTTCTGATAATTCATTAAAATCTATGATGTATTATTACTATTTTGCTAACATTTATTATCTCAGATATAGTTCTTTGATTGATCCCTCAATTATTATCTTCTAGCAGCCGCCTATGACTTTGTTCACATAAACTTTTTTGAGATACCTACAGAAATCTAACATTTTTTCAGGATAAAAAGTATTCTATGTCTCAGCCCAGGTACAGGTCATAAACTATGTTTATGCCAGATTTCATCCATATCCATTCAGTACTTTTTGCATGACTGAGTAACAAACATAGAAACTTTTATTCAAAGTTATAATGTTTGTAAGATTAATAAGTCCAACAGAATATAAAGTAAAGTTTGTACTTTATATTCTGGGTAAATAATACATAAGAATGCATTTGCAGAAAAATGATTAGGACATTAAATAAACCTTTGCTTGCTATTTACCAGGATTTGAATCCAGAAGAGCCTTAAAAGAATTGGTTGTTTAAAAAGATTATCAAAATTTACACATAAACACAAAGAACTATAGTTTAGAATTTCTTTTATTAAGCAATTTCAATTTAAATCTGATAAACAATAGAGCTAAAGAAGAAATGTTCAAGGTATCAGAGTAACACATAATTACTTTAACTATTTAGGTATGAACAAAAGTACAAAATGGTTATAATCACTATAGATATTTGCCATATCCTATATTTGAATCTGATAACAGTTAGACTGGCACTTCACATGGCTATTCGTATTTTGCTATTGGTAAATTTGATTACAGTCTCTCCTTGTCACTCCCTATAAAGTATGAAGGATAACCATTACCCAGCTAATGTAAGAAAAGCTTGATGTTATTCTTTGTTATTTCTGTTCCATTAATAAACTATAGAACTTAATATATCAAAGTTTTGCTTGATAATAGGTTTAATGCTGCTACATGTAACCATGCTATAAGGCTGTATAGGTAAATAAAATACCAAATAAATTCATACATTCTATGATAGCTTTTTCATAATCACTAACTCCTGAAATATGGAGACTCTATAGTCTCACATTAACAGGCACAGAGACGGCTAGGCTACTGTCAGCTGTTCGTTGGTGTATTAATGTTTCACTAAATATTTTCATATTCTGAAGAAAATGTTGACTAGAAATTATTTAAGTCAGCCCAGAAATCAAGATGGATTTTCTATTACATATGGTAATGTTAAGGAGTGAGTGAACTTAAACAAAATTACAGACAATTGTAGTGAATATAATAACTGAATAATGTCACAGTAGATTAGTTAAATCAGTATTACAATCTGAACCTGTTTTTAAGATATTATTTTATTCTTTTTATTTTCCATTTAATTGATTTAACTTGGGATTCAACAAGAAGTTATAAAGAGAAAAGTAGAAAAATATGTAGTGAAACAATTGATTACTGGAAAATACTACTGGTTATAGGTTGATCATCTATCTTTGGCATAGGATTGTCTTTCCTTTCAGCCAAGATGTAGAAATAGCTCAATAAAAAATAGTACTTTAAATTTTTTGGTAAAGTAATAATTTTGACATTAAGGAACTGAATAAAGCTAGATTTACAATTAAAACTGTGTAGTGAAATTGCCACAATCGCATTGGAAAACTTGCAATAGTTTAATAGTTTTTATAACGGTTCATGTTATTTTTTGCTACACCATTTGATGTTAAGTATGACTGGAAACCAGTTGTAAAGATATTCGTAATTGGTGCGTCGTATTGGTGATATTTTTAAAGCCAAAAACTCACATAGCCAGCCACCCATATTTCTACCTAGCCTCTCTTACCTCTATCCTAGTCTCGCCAACATGTACCACACATATTACCTCTTGCGGCGGCATAAAATTCAACGAGTATGTGAATAACACACAAGAAGAGGCCCTAAGTGAAATGATCAAGAAGAAGATGAGTCTATTCCGATTTTGTCACACGCCCAGGCATTATCAGGAGCTTAATGATTACGGACGCTATGTAACTTTGAATCAAAGCGAAGACGCACTGCAAAAGTTAAATTATGTTGAACATCTTGTAATTGCTAATGCGTCAAAATCTTATGACAAACTAAATATTGGACATTTTATACCTCAATACCTACATTCGCAATTTCCCTATCCCGCGATCCCGCTTAAGACGCGTTTTTGGTTGAGTCTCTGTGAAATCGTCTTAAACGGTTTTTACTGTATTAATTTAGTTTTAAAAAAAAAATGTTTATTGCATTTCTTATAATTTTTACTCTGAAAATTAATAAATTGTTTCACTAAACCTAATGTTATATGCAATAGAGCCATTAAAATACGTAAACACAAAAAGAGTTGTGTATTTGTATTACTGCTTTTGATTTGTCGACTGTGGTCAACACTGCGGTTTGTTAACATTTGGCATTGAACGTCGTTGGTTTCAGTGCGTTGAGTGCTCCAGCACTCGTTTACCAAGTGCACTTCGTGCGTTTCAGTTTCGTCACCTTGTTACTGAATGTAGCTCCGTTTTTTGCGCCTTTCAGATGTTTGAAAATTAAAATGAAAAATTTCTTTATTTCATTTTTCGTTTCCCTCTCTTGTTTGTTTTTGGGGTTTAATATTAATGAAAACTTGTGTTTTTTCATTTTCTGCTTTTTCGGGTAACTTTCACTTTAGTTCTATTGGTGTAGCTATAATAATAATAAATAAATATTTCCAACACTCACATCAAATAGCCTAGCCACAAAGTAAGCACTGTAGACTTGTGTTATGTGATACTAGTGTAACGAATATAATACGTATATAAATATATTTATATAGAAATGCATATTAAACATCCATAACTGGAGTACAAATGCTCGTATTTCACACAAACATCTGCCCCTACCGAGATTCGAAACCGGGACCTCTCGAGTACGTGGTCCACAATCACACCAAAATATTCTATATATTCTACATACTCGAATCTTAGTTGTTCACCTTTCTCTCAAGTTTGATCTCGACAGTAAGTCTTAAGTGGCTCTTATTCTGTATTATCTTCATCAACAGCCTATCTTAGTCCACTGCTGGACATAGGCCTCTCCAAATGCATGATGAGATGATCCAGATCGATCTTGGGCTACTCGTGTATTATCTTATTAAGAGGTATACCTATGTGGTTTTCGTGATTCTGATCTGCATACACAAATTATTCTCAATTTTATTTGAAATTTTGTTTTAAGTATTATATGTAAGTACTGAATACTAATATACTTCTGTAAACAAACAATAAGGGAAATATTTTAATTATCATCAAAAAATAATAATAATAAAAGATCACCACAAAATACAATTGGTAACGTACAAGTTAGGTTAACAATTTTTTTGGTGATCATTTAAATATGTGCCATACAATAATAGTATGGAATCTTTGATTATATACACCCTAGATATCGTATTAACTGCACGGAAGCTGTACAAAAAAATATCTACTACTTATGGTAGATATCCTCGTTGCTACACACGCAATGTGCATCTGAATTGAGTGATCCACATTTTGGGCAATATCTTCGATCGCCTGAGAGTGACAAATTTTTAGATTTCGGTTATGAGTTTTACACTAAATGTACGTTTTGGTTTTATTGAAAACTAAACAAAGATCACTCAATTCAGATGCACATACACACGCACAGGTTGACTGCATAAGTACAATCTGACATTATAGACACACACACACATTGGGCTAAACATGAGCCGTTTTCTGTGAGTGATTCATTGGGATTGCTCTTTCTAGGCGTATATATAATCAAAGTATTGGAATCATCTTAAAACTATGTTACTCTGAAACATATTAACGGCCAAACGGCACGTGCTGTGAATTGAACGGTCCAGTGGACACTTCCCCTGATTGATCGGCGACATTTGAACCGAGCTCACATGACGGTCACGGCGGCACGGGTGAATCATCACTGCTCACGT